CCATGTCTCTCTCTGTGTATGTGTGTCTGTGTCTGTATTTCTTTGTCTGTGTGTGTGTGTGTGATGTGTGTGTGTGTTTCTGTGTCTCTCTTCTCTCTGTGTGTGTGTCTGTCTGTGTCTGTCTGTGTATTTGTGTATGTCTGTATGTGTATGTGTGTGTGTGTGTGTGTGTCTGTGTCTCTGTGTGTCTGTGTATGTGCGTCTGTGTGGTGTCTGTGGTGTGTGTCTGTGTGTGCGTCTGTGTGTGTGTCTGTGTGTCTGTGTGTGTCCATGTGTGTCTGTGTCTATATTTCTTTGTGTGTGTGTGTTTGTGTGTGTGTGGTTTGTGTGTGTTTGTGTCTTTTCTGTGTGTGTGTGGTGTGTGTGTGTGTTTGTGTCTCTCTTCTGTGTCTCTGTGTGTCTGTCTACCTGTCTCTGTGCGTGTGTCTGTGTATTTCTGTGTCTATGTGTCTCACTCTCTCTCTGTGTCTGTATATTTCTGTGTGTGTGTGTGTGTGTGTCTGTATTTCTGTATCTGTGTGTGTCTGTCTGTCTGTTTCTCTCTCTCTCTCTCTCTCTCCCCCCGCCCCCGTGTGTGTGTGTGTGTGTGTGTGTGTGTGTGTGTGTGTGACACGTAAGCTCCCCCCAAATGCATCGGGCCCCATCCCATCCTCTCATCTGCTTTACAGCAGAGCTCCCAACCTTGGCAACTTTTAAGACTTGTGGACTTCAACTCCCAGAATTCCTGGTTGAGGGATTCTGGGAGTTGAAGTCCACAAGTCCCCAAAGGGCCCAGTTGGAAGACCCCTGTCTTAAAACATCCTGGCTGAGGAATTCTGGGAGTTGAAGTCCCCAAGTCACAAAAAGGCCCAGTTGGAAGATCCCTGCCTTGAAGCATCCTGGCTGAGGGATTCTGGGAGTTGAAGTCCACCAGTCACCAAAAGGCCCAGTGGGAAGACCCCTGTCCTAAAGCATCCCGGCTGAGGAATTCTGGGAGTTGAAGTCCACTAGCCTTACAGTAGCTAAGCTTGGAGACCCCTGCTTTACAGAGTGCCATCTCCTCCCTGGCGAGAGGGGGGGGGAGATCCCGAAACCACAGGCCAGATGTGGAAGAAGGGAGGGAGGGAAAGAAATGGCTGCTTCAAAGCCCCCCCCCCACACAAAATCCTGCAGCCACTCCATCTAGTGGCAGGGAGTTCCCCAAGCCAGCCGAGATCCAAAAGCCGGACTGCCTGCTTTCCAGAAAAAAAGGGGGGGGGTGTCTGTGGTTATCTAGCTCCTCCCAAAGGGGCAGTCCCCCCCCGGCCGTTCCCACCCTGCCCCCCCTTATTGCTCCTCCCCACCCAGGGGCGAACAGACACAACATAAGACACAGGCAACCCACAATTTGCACTTCTGGATGATCACAAGGATTTCCACCACGGCCCTCTGACTCACCGGCTAGCCAGAACTGCTGAGTGGCAGGTGAGTCATTCCCCCCCCCCCCGCGTTTCCCACCCCCCCTCACCCCGTTCACCCCCCCCCCAGCCGCTGCCCGACCGACACGGCCTCAGGGGCTGACCTTGCGCAAAAGAAGCCGGGAAGCCAGCCATATTCTCGCTCCCAAAGAAAAGGGGGAAAAAAAGAGCTGGATGGGACCTCGGAGGTCATCTAGTCCAACCCCCTGCTCGAGAAGGGGAGCCTTACAGAACCACAGACAAATGGAGATGGAAGGGACCTCAGAGGTCATCTCGTCCAGCCCCTTGCTCCAGCATAAGACCTTTACAGAACCACAGACAAATAGAGATGGAAAGGATCTCAGCGGTCATCTAGTCCAACCCCCTGCTCGAGAAGGGGAGCCTTACAGAACCACAGACAAATGGAGATGGAAGGGACCTCAGAGGTCATCTAGTTCAACCCCTTGCTCAAGCAGGAGACCTTTACAGAACCACAGACAAATAGAGATAGAGATGGAAAGGACCTCAGAGGTCATCTAGACTAACCCTCTGCTCAAGCAGGAGACCCTTACCAAATCATAGGAAGCGTTGGAAGGGACCTTGGAGGTCATCTCGTCCAACCCCCTGCTCCAGCAGAAGACTTTGGAGGTCATCTGGTCTGACCCCCCTGCTCAGTTAGGAGACGCTCACAGAATTACAGAACCACCAAGTTGGAAGGGACCTTGGAGGTCATCTAGTCCAACCCCCTGGTCAAGCAGGAGACCTTTACAGACCACAAATACAGATGGAAGGGACCTCAGAGGTCATCTAGTCCAACCCCCTGCTCAAGGAGGAGACCCTTACAGAACCACAGACAAATACAGATGGAAGGGACCTCAGAGGTCATCTAGTTCAACCCCCTGCTCGAGCAGGAGACCCTTACAGAATGATAGAGTGACAGAGTTGGAAGGGACCTCGGAGGTCATCCAGTCTAACCCCCTGCCCAAGCAGGTGCATTCGTGAGCCATTTCCCCCCCCCCCGTTAACCCCAGCCGCTGCAGGACCAACATAGCCTCAGGCGCTGACTTAGAAGCCCTTCCGCCAAAAAAGCTGGGAAGCCAGCCCTATTCTATATTCTATATTCTATATTCTGCTCTATTTCTATATTCCATTCTACTCACTTTCTATTGCATTGCATTCTGTATTTTGAATTCTATATTCTGAATTCTGTTCTATTCTGTTCTATATTCAATTCTATTCACCTTCTATTCTATATTCTATAATTCTATTCTATAATTCTGTTCTGAATTCTGTTGTGAAATTTCATATTTTCTATTCTATTCTATTTCATATTTTCTATTCTATTCTATTCTATTCCATATTTTCTATTCTATTCTATTTCATATTTTCTATTCTATTCTATTCTATTTCTATTCTATTTCATATTTTCTACTCTATTCTATTCTATAATGTTCTGTTTCTATTCTATTTCATATTTTCTATTCTATTCCATATATTCTATTCTATTCCATTTCATATTTTCTATTCTATTGTATTCTATTTCTATTCTATTTCATATTTTCTACTATTCTGCTCTATTCCATATTTTCTATTCTATTCTATTCCATTTCATATTTTTCTATTCTATTCTATTATTCTATTCTATTCTATTCTATTCTATTCTATTCTATTCTATTTCTATTCTATTTCTATTCTATTCTATTCTTATTCTTAACTGTTGTTCTGTAAGGGTCTCCTGCCGGAGCAGAGGGTTGGACTAGATGACCTCCGAGGTCCCTTCCATCTATTCCAGTGGTTCTCAACCTTTCTAATGCCGCGACCCCATAATACAGTTCTCCATGTTGTGGTGACCCCCAACCACTTATACATCACCGGGTGCCAGGGGCGTGGCCAAAGAAAAGGGGGAAAAAATGGCAGACAGCCTTGTTTGGCGACCCCTGTGAAATGGTCGTTCGACCCCAAATGGGGTCCCGACCCACAGGTGGAGAACCACTGATCTATTCTATTCTATTCTATTCTATTCTATTCTATTCTATTCTATTTCCATGCCATTCCATTCAACCCTCTTCTCTTCTCCAATGTTATTTCTATCCTATCCTACTAATTCCATATTCCCTCCCCAGGGAAGGGACGGCCTTCCCAAACCAAGGGCAGCAACAGCAGACGCTTAGCAGGAGGGAGGGAGGGACGGGTGTCGCAACCTCTGTGGGAAATCAAAGGAATCTTTACAAACCTCTGGGGAGGGGAAGGGCGGGGGGGGGAGCATCCCAGGACGGTTCGCTTATAGCCCCGAGCCTGCCCAGCCCAAACCTGGAGGTGGGGAAGCAGCCAAACCGGACCCTTTGTCATCCTCCCCCCCCCGTCCCTGCACAACGCAGGAGCTGCAGGGGGTAGAGTGGGGGGGGGAGAGGGACGGACAAGCCCCAACAGCCCCCTCCTCTCCATACGGGACCCCCACTGCAGCAGAGACAGTGGGGGGGGGGCTCAAGGAGGAAAGGAACCCCCCCAAACCGTGGGGAGGGGGGAAAACGTCCCCAATTCAGCAGCAAAGCAAGTCCGGCTAGGAAGGGGGTGGGGAGTCTCTGGCTCCCCCCCTCCCCACTTCTAGAACCGGGGTGGGGGGGTGGGACTACAGTTCCCAGCATCCCTCTCTAGCCAGATGGATGGACACTCGTTCGGCCCACCCGGCCGGGGGTTCGGTTCCCGAGGAGGCGGGAACTGGGGTGGGGCGGGGGGGGGGAAGATCTGGTTCAAACAGGCAAAGGTTGGGGAGGGGGCGCTTTCGGCTGCTTCCCAGGTATCCCCACCGGGCAAAAAGGGGGTGGGGGGAGTTTCCCCAGCCAAAAGTTGGGGGTGGGCTGCTTTCCAGGCATCCCCTCTGGGCAAAAAGGGGGTGGGGGGGTCCCCATTCAAAAGTTGGGGGGGCTGCTTTCCAGGCATCGTTTCCGGGCAAAAAGGGGGTGGGGGGTCCCCCAGCCAAAAGTTGGGGGGCTGCTTTCCAGGCAGCCCCTCCGGGCAAAAAGGGGGTGGGGGGTTCCCCAGCCAAAAGTTGGGGGGGGGTGCTTTCCAGGCATCGTCTCCGGGCAAAAAGGGGGTTGGGGCGCGGGCAAACCGTGTGTGTGTGTGTGTGCATGTGTGTGTTTGGGGGGGGGGCACCCCGGGACAGTCTCCCTTGCGCAACAGCACCCCGGGCAGGTGCGCGACCCAGCCCTGCCCTGCCCGGCTGCCCCCGCACCGTTCCCACGGCCCCTCCCGGCCGCCCCCTCCCCAATCGGGGAGGGGGAGTACACGCAGCCCCGGGGGACCCCCTCCCCACTATCCCTCCCCTCCCCTAAACAGCGGCTCAGCAAAGGAGGGGGGCTGCAAGCCGGCCCGCCTCCGGGGTCGCAACTGTGGACCCTCCTGCGGAGCGCGCATCTCCCAGCAAAGGCTGGGGCGGGGGGGGGGTCCCCAATACAAGCAACCGGACTGGGGCTACCCTTCTTTCTGGGGGCCCCAGCCTGCCCCTCCCTTGCCTCTCTGGCAGGTTCGGACCTGCCCCCCCCCGACACACGCAAAGTCCTCGCTCCCGCGACCGCCACTCACCCGACCGGCGGCAGCAGCACCAGCAGCAGCAGCGATGGAGCGCAGCCCCACCGCACCGGTCCGCGGACCCTGTCTGTCTGTCTGTCTTGCCTGCCTGCCTGCCGCGCATGCGCAGCGGGGCCCAGCCTTCGCCACGTACACTGCCAGGCCAAGCCCGGCCCCGCGGCTGAGGAAGCCCCTCCCCCTGGGAGAGGGAGGCCGTCCTCGACTTACAACCGCCCTCCAGCCTCAGATGTTATCTCCGCTGCTACATCAGGGGGTCTTCCACCCGGGCCCTTGGAGGACTGGGGGACTTCAACTCCCAGAATTCCTCAGCCAGGCACGCTGGCTGAGGAATTCTGGGAGTTGAAGTCCACCAGTCTGCAAAGGGCCAAGTTCAAAGACCCCACAGGACAGGGCCTTCCAACTGGGCGCTTTGGGGATTGGTGGGCTTCAACTCCCAGAATTCCTCAGCCAGGCAGTTGAAGCCCACCAGTCCTCAAAGGGCCCAGTCAGAAGACTCCTGTCTGAAAGCTTCCTGACTGAGGAATTCTGGGATTGAAGTCCACCAGTCCCCAAAGGGCCCAGTGGGAAGACCCCTGCCTTGGCTGAGGAATTCTGGGAGGTGAAATCCCCAAGACATCAAAGAGCCCAGTTTGAAGACTCCTGCCTTGAAGCGTCCCGGCTGAGGGATTCTGGGAGTTGAAGTCCCCCAAAGGGCCCAGTGGGAAGACCCGTCTTAAAGCTTCCTGGCTGAGGGATTCTGGGAGTTGAAGTCCACCAGTCCTAAAAGAACCAAGTTCAAAGACCCCCGATATAGATTATACAGGACAGGGGCCTTCTGACTGGGCCCTTGGGTGACTGGTGGACTTCAACTCCCAGAATTCCTCAGCCAGGCAGTTGAAGCCCAGCAGTCCCCAAAGGGCCCAGTTGGAAGACCCCTGTCTTAAAACATCCTGGCTGAGGAATTCTGGGAGTTGAAGTCCCCAAGTCACCAAAGGGCCCAGTTGGAAGACCGTGCGCTACAATATTGTTAAGTGAGTTTTGCCCCGTTTTTCTGGCCACCGTCGTAAAGTGAACCATTGCAGTCTCGTGGTTACTTCCCCCTTGAATTTGGAAGGTTGCCAAAAGGGATCACGTGAGCCCGGGACACTGCAACCGTCGTAAATAGGAACCGGTTGTCAAGCGTCTAAATTTGAATCACATGACCTTGAGGAGGCTGCAACGGTCGTTAAGTGGGGAAAAACGGTCCAAAGTTCCTGTTTCACTGCTGTTGTCACTTGGAACGGTCACTCAATGAATTGTTGTAAATCCAGGACCAAGACTCTGACCCCTCCCGAAAGAGGGCGGGAGCCGGAGGACGTTAAGGAAAAAGCCCGTCACTTTCATTCCATGAGTCTGGAAGGGTCTCCTGCTCGAGCAGGGGGATGGGCTAGATGACCTCTGAGGTCCCTTCCAACTCGGCCATTCCGTGATTCTGTCGGGGGGGTCTCCTGCTGGAGCAGGGGGTTGGACTAGATGACCTCCGAGGTCCCTTCCAACTGTTATTCCATGATTCTGTAAGGGTCTCCTGCTTGAGCATGGGGTTGGCCTAGATGACCTCTGGGGTCCCTTGCAACTCTGTTATTCTACATTTCTGGAAGGATCTCCTACTTGAGAGGGGGGGCTGGACTAGATGACCACCGAGGTCCCTTCCAATTCTGTCATTCTATGATTCTGTAAGGCTCTCCTGGGGATTGGACTAGATGACCTCTGAGGTCCCTTCCAACTCTGTCATTCCGTGATTCTGGAAAGGTCTCTTGCTGCGGCGGGGGGGGGGCTGGACTAGATGACCTCCGAGATCCCCTTCCAGCTCTGCGATTGTATAAGGGTCTCCTGCTTGAGCAGGGGGTTGGACTAGATGACCTCCGAGGTCCCCTTCCAGCTCTGCGATTGTATAAGGGTCTCCTGCTTGAGCAGGGGGCTGGACTAGATGACCTCCAAGGTCCCTTCCAAGTCTGTCCTTCTGTAAAGCTCTACTGCTCAAACTGGGAGGTTGGACTAGATGACCTCCGAGATCCCTTCCGGCTCTGTGATTCTGTAAGGGTCTCCTGCTCGAGCGGGGTGGGGGGGCTGGACTAGATGACCTCCGAGGTCCTCCCCCCTTCCGCCTCTCTCCCCCCCCCCATTCCCCGATTCTGCTCGGCGCTCCCCGCCCGGCCCGGCCCGGCCGCAGCCTTCCCCGCCCGCGCTATGCCTGCCGGGAGCTGTAGTCTTCCCGGCCAAAGGAGGCGGGCGGGGCGGCCGCTCCGCCCGGGGAGGGGAAGCGAGGCACGCCGGGAGTCGTAGTCCCACTCGGGGGCGGGGGGGGGGAGTGGAGGACTGCGCCGGGGAAGCCGGAGACGCGGGAGGGTCGGGCGAGGCGCGCAGCCGGGCTGGGGTCGCGCCGCTCCCGCGGGGGGCTCGGGGTGGGGGGCGTTGGCGGCCGGAGCCCCCGCCATGCAGAAATACGAGAAGCTGGAGAAGATCGGAGAGGGTGGGTGGGGGTCCCCGCGCGGGGGTGGGGGGGCTATGGGTGGGTGGGGGGGCTTGGGTTGAGTGGGGGGGCTTGGAATGGGTGGGGGGCTCGGGGTGGGGGGGCGTTGGCGGCCGGAGCCCCCGCCATGCAGAAATACGAGAAGATCGGAGAGGGTGGGGGGGCTGTGGGTGGGGGGGGCTTGGAATGGGTGGGGGGGGCTTGGAATGGGTGGGGGGGGCTTGGAATGGGTGGGGGGGGCTTGGGATGGGGGTGGGATTCCCAGCCCGGAGGGAGACCCCCCCCAACCCTGTTTAGCGCAAGGGAGGAGAAGGATGCAGGGGAGGGGGCGAGACCACCCCTCCCTCCCTCCCTCCCTCCCATGGGGTGGGGGGTCTCCGGGGGTCTCTGAGCGATGCTTGCCCCCCCCTCCCCAGGCACCTACGGAACCGTCTTCAAAGCCAAGAACCGGGAGACCCACGAGATCGTGGCGCTCAAGCGGGTCCGACTGGATGACGACGACGAGGTGAGCCCCCTGCCCGCGGGGGGGGGTGTGGGAGGAGGGAGAGAGGGAGAAGAATTGGGGCAGGGGGCTTTCCCACTTCTGCGGTGCTTGCCCCCCCAAATGGTGGAAGGGGGGCTGCGCAGGAGGCTTCTTCACCCCCCTCACACACACACACACACACACACACACACACACACACACACACACACACATCTCCTTCCATCCTTTGGCTGCATTTGGGGGGGGTCTCGTCCTTCCAAAGGCCGCAGCCCCCCCTAACCCTCCCCTCCCCTCTCTCTCCTAGGGGGTCCCCAGCTCGGCCCTGCGGGAGATCTGCCTGCTGAAGGAGCTCAAACACAAGAACATCGTGCGGTCCGTCTCTGGGGTGGGGAGGGGGCTTCGCGGGGTACCCCGCCATCCTTGAGGGGCGGGGGGGGTCGAGGTTTCGGCCCCACAGGATCGGGCCCAGCGAGGCGAGCTGCTGTCGTAGCCCCCCCCAGACAGAAACACAGCCTTCCGGGCAGGGTGTATGTGTGTGTGGGTGTGTATGTGGGTGGGGGTCTCTATCCTCCCACCCACCAGACGTGGGGGCAAAACCCTCCTCGCTTCTTTTGAGGGGGGGGCAGTGTTTCAGCCCCACAGGATTGGGCCCAGGGAGGGGACCTGCCGTCGTAGCCCCCCAAACAGAAACACAGCCTTCCGCGCAGGGTGTGTGTGTGTGTGTGTGTGTGTGTGTGTATGGGTGTGGGTGGGTGGGGGTCTCTATCCTCATGGACCTTGTATCCCACCCACCAGACTGGGGGGGGGGCAAAACCCTCCTCGCTTCCTTTGAGGGGGGGGCGATGTTTCGGCCCCACAGGATTGGGCCCAGCGAGGGGAACTGCCGTCGTAGCCCCCCCAGACAGAAACAGAGCTTTCCGTGCAGGGTGTGTGTGTGTGTGTGTGTGTGTATATGTGGGTGGGGGTCTCTATCCTCATGGACCTTGTATCCCACCCACTGGACGGGGGGGGCAAAACCCTACTTGCTTCCTTTGGGGAGGGGGGCGAGGTTTCGGCCACACAGGATTGGGACGGGGGGGTAGGGGTCTCTTAACGTCTTGGACCTTGTGTCTCCCCCCCCCCGCCGGGCAGGGGGGCAAAGCTCTCCTTGCTTTCTTTGAGGGGGGGGGCAGGCCAGTTAGAAGCCGGGCTGGGAGTGTCAGGGCCTCCACTGCTTTGTAGGGGGTCTCTCCCTCCCCCTGCTGGGCGGGGAGTGAGGAGAGGGTGGGGGTGACTGCCGGGGAAGACCCCCCCCAGCCCAGACTGTCCCCCTCCCCTTTCAGGTTGCACGACGTCCTGCACAGCGACAAGAAGCTGACGCTGGTCTTCGAGTTCTGCGACCAAGTAAGGCGACAAAAGGGGTCCTGCCCTCAATTTTCCTGGTGCCTGAGCAGAGATGCCCCCAAGTCTGTCCCAGATTGACGGGTTGGGAGCCAGTGTTCTCCGGCGGGGGGCGGGCCATAAGAGCCCCCCCAGCCCCCACCTCCGTAGTTGGTGCCCTACTGCATTGCCTGCCAGCAGGAACCCCAATTCCCCCCGTGCCCCCCGCTCTCCCCACTGTCCTGTATCCCCCTGGCCATCTCAGGCTCATGGCCTCCCACCCCAAAGGCACCGGGGGGGGGGGAGGGGGAGGAAGACGGAGTGAGTTTTCAGTGGCCACTCATGGTCACACAATGGTACAGATAGTCCTCGACTTAACGACCGCCGGTCTGCTAACATGTACGTTCCTAAGTGGGACGTGGGCGAAGCGGGCTTGGCCCCTTTTTGCAACATTTCTCGACACCTGGGTTAAAGAGAATCCCTGCGGTCGCTAAATGAACGCCCCGGTTGTTAAGTGAGCTTGGCTTCCTGCTGATCAGACTGTCCCCCCCAAAAAGGGGGAACCGTGAGACACAACAACGGTCGTAAAAAGGAACCGGCGGCCGAGCCGCTAAGGTTTGACGACGTAGCCGTCGGGAGAGCACACAAGTCGTAGCTCTGCAAAACGGCCACGGGTCGTTTTTGTAACTTGTTTTGTGACTGCTGTAAGGCGAGGACTCACTGTACTTTTGCTCCCTTTTCCTGTCCCCCATGTGGGGGGGCGGGGAGGAACCGCACCCTTGTGAACCCCCCCCCCAAATTCTGCCCCCTTTGCCTGTCCCCTTTTCTTGCCCTTCTCCCTCCTGAGTTCCTTGCTGGGGCAACTTGAAATTGCAGGGGGGGGAAGTGGGGAGATTTTGCCCCCCATAGAAGTCTGGGGGGGCTGATGACCCCCCCTCTGCTGACCCTCGGTGCAACGCCCCCCCCTCCCGCAGGACCTGAAGAAATATTTCGACAGCTGCAACGGTGACCTGGACGCCGAGATTGTGAAGGTGAGCTGGGGGATCGTCCGGGATAGGACATTTCGGCTCCTGTGGGGCATGGTGCAATTGGCAGGCTGGCTGATGGGAACGCCACCCCCCCTCACCTCTTCCACCCCCCCCAGTCCTTCATGTACCAGCTGCTGAAAGGCTTGGGCTTCTGCCACAGCCGTAACGTCCTGCACCGCGACCTGAAGCCTCAGAATCTGCTCATCAACCGGGTGAGTCCAAGGAGGGGAGGGGTCTCCTTTGCCAGCCCTCCCCCCTCCAGCTCCCGTGACAAAGAGTGCCAGGCAGCTGAGCGCCGGGCGCTGCCGTTGCCCCCAGTCCGCCTTGAGGCAGGCCGGGCCCCGAGGCGGGCTGGGCCCCTCCCCGGGCCCCAGATGCATGCAAAACTGGCATTGGTTGGGGTGTACGGGCAAACGAGGCCACCGGGGAGGGGGCGGGACTCTGCGTCTGGGTGGTGGCGGCAGAATTAGCACCCAGATCCGGAGGTTTTTCATCCACCTCCCTCTGCTCCTACCCCCCAGCCCAATTTGGGGGACTGCCAACGCTTTTCCTGGCAGGAACCCTGCCAAAAGGGGTGAAAAGCACCTGGGGTGCGCCAGCCTTGTGCCGACGCTTCTCCCGCTTACCCAAATTGCTTGGCACCGGGACGGGGTGACGTTCCTCCCCAATGGGGACCCCTCCCCGTGTGCCTCCCCCCCACCCCGGTAGCTCTTCCCTTCCTGACTGCCTGTCTTGTCTTGGGGGGGGGGGGGCAGAACGGGGAGCTGAAGTTGGCGGACTTCGGACTGGCGCGGGCTTTCGGCATCCCGGTACGCTGTTATTCGGCAGAGGTAAGCCGAGCCCTGGGCAGAGAAGGAAGGGGGGGGGGCGTCCATTCCCTGCAACGCCCCCCCCCGCAGGCACAATTGGCATCCTTCCGCCAGGATGCCCATCCGGGAATGGTCTGTTCCGGGGCGGTGGAGGGGACAGACGCTTCCTCGCGACCGTCCGTTCCTGGCCTCTGTGCACTATCGTTTTTTGGGGGGGGAACTCTGTTCTCTTCCCCTTTGGGGGGAAAGGGGCTCTGCTGCTCCCTGACTTCCGGTTTGTGGGGGGGGTATCTCCCCACAGGTGGTGACCCTCTGGTACCGCCCCCCCGACGTCCTTTTCGGAGCCAAGCTCTACTCCACCTCCATTGACATGTGGTCGGCCGGCTGCATTTTCGCAGGTAAGGCTGAGGGGTGTGGGAGTGTGGGAAGGGGGGACTGCGGTTTGGGAAAGATGGGTGTCTGTTTTGGGTTCTGACTCTGCCCCCCCCCCTCTCCAGAGCTAGCCAACGCAGGACGCCCCCTCTTTCCGGGCAACGACGTGGACGACCAACTGAAGCGCATCTTCCGATATCCTTGCGGCCGAGGGGGGGGGCCGAAGTGGCAGTGCCAGGAGGGAGTACTGGGGGGGGGACAGCATAATTGGGAGCGAGGTACGGGGTGGGGGGGCCCAAGACAGGCGAACACTCCACCCGATCCTTTACTCGTCCACGCTGCTGGGCACCCCGACGGAGGAGCAGTGGCCGGGCATGACGAAGCTCCCCGATTATAAGGTCAGGAGGTCTTCCCCCCCCTCACGCGAGGGGTGGTTTGGGACGTGGGGCAGCGCCAGGAGAAGGGTGGGCTTCAGCTGACCTCTGACCCCTTGCCCTGCCCGTTCCTCCTCTTCCTCAGCCCTACCCCATGTACCCCGCCACAACTTCGCTGGTCAACGTTGTGCCGAAGTTGAACACGACCGGCCGGGACCTTTTGCAGGTGAGGCTGCCTTCCCCTGCCCTGGCCCCTCCCTCTGCCCCCCCCGTGCCACCCCACCTCTCTCCATTTTGAGGGTCCCTGCTCCCCTTGCCTTTGCAGAACCTGTTGAAATGCAACCCGATGCATCGGATCTCGGCCGAGGACGCCCTGCAGCACCCCTACTTCACGGACTTCTGCCCCCCCTGACGGTCCACTGGACGCAGCGGTGGAGTGCCGGTGGCAGGGGGGGGGTTCCACCTGGCACCTCCCCTCCCTCCCTCCCCCCCCCCTCCCCAACCCTTTTTGGGCCAAATCCTCCTTCTCCGGGACCAGCATCCCGATCTGAGCTGTGAGTTTTGTCGTCGGTGTGACGATGTGCTGTCGATTCCATAAAAGTTGCTGCTTTCTCTCCTCCTCCCTCTTGTGGTCTTTCCCTCACCTGTAGCCACTGTGGCCGGGAAGGGGGAGGGGGCTATTCTCCCTTGTTTCCCCCTCCCCCCTTGGCTCACCAGGCCTGAAGTGCAAGTGGGGGGGAGGCAGGGATCCCCATCCACTCGCTCCCCGGGGGCTTCTCTTCCTAGAGCAGTGGTTCTCAACCTTTTTACTGCCGCGACCCCCAACCGGTCGTAAGTCGAGGACTACTCAACCGGTCGTAAGTCGAGGACTACTCAACCAGTCGTAAGTCGAGGACTACTCAACGGGTGTAGCGCCGTTTGCAGACTGGGACTTTTGGCGGGCTCAGCAGGGCAGAGACAGCCTGGACAATTCCTATTGGCTTTGGAAAGCCAATAGAATTAGACTCTGTTCAAGAGAGTCCATTCTATTGGCTTTCAAAAGCCAATAGAATAAAAGGGAGTAGCACAGCTAAGGAAAAGGGGGAAAAAAATGGCGGACTGCGTTGTTTGGCGACCCCCGTGAAATGGCCGTTCGATCCCAAATGGAGTCCCGACCCCACAGGTTGAGAACCACTGTCCTAGAGCTTCCTCTGCCCCATTTAACGTCTTTCGGACAAGAACACGCTCTGTTCCCAAGGAGACTCTTTAATGACAGACAAACACAGCAGTCAGATAGCGGGGAGGAGGCATCCGGGGCCACCGAGGAACCCCGGAGTCCAGCCGTCTCCCCGCGAGTGCCAGGTGGGCTTCCACCTGCGACGATGCCAGGGGTGTCTTCCCCGCAGCCCCTCCTTCCTGCAGGCGGCTGTCCCGGAGCCGGCTAGGGGTCTGTCCTCGGGTGTTCGGGGGTCTTCAGCAGGCAAACTCCTCGGAGCCGGTTAGAGTGGTGTGACGAGGTAGCCCACCCGTGGGGTAGCTGACCACGATGCTGTCCGAGTGGCCGCGCAGCGGATGGCAGGCGCTCTGCGATGGAGGGGGGAGAGAAAAAGAGGGGAGTTAGGGGAGTCGGGCGGGCGGGGGGGTCGCGGTGCTCTCCCTGGCTTCGGTCCGCCCCTCCCTTTCCTCCCTCCGGGGCTGGGGACCAGGAGGGGGAGGGAGAGGTGAGGGGGAGAAGACCGCTACCTGGGCGGAGGGGGCAGCTGACCACGGGGGAGGTCCACGTACTCCTGGCGCAGGTGAGATGCCAAATGGAAGCAGGAGGGAGAGAAGAGGGGCGGCGATGGGGTGAAAGTGGGGAGGGGGGGAGAGAAAGGGAGGGGCGGGGACGGAGAAACGGCAATGAGGCGAGACCCCGCGGCAGGGGGGCACTGCCGGAGGACACGGGCGGTGAAAAAAAAAGCGGGGCGAGGGCGTTTCGGAGCTCGCGCACAACGCCTCTGGAAGAACTTCATGGATGCCACCCCCCCAAGCCTCCCTGATGCTGCTGGGGGCTCTCTAAAGCAGGGTGTTTCGGATCACGCGCACAACGCCTCTGGAAGAACTTCATGGATGCCACACACCCCCAATGCTGATGGGGACCCTCTAAAGCGGGGCGTTTCGGATCACGCGCACAATGGCTCTGGAAGAACTTCATGGATGCCGCCCCCCCCAAAACCTCCCTGATGCTGCCAATTGTGTCCCAAGCTCCCTGCTGGTTATCAGGAGGAGGGAGGGGGGGGTTCAGTGGCCAGGTTGTGTGGGGGGGCAGAGCAGGAGGTGGGGTGTCGCCTACCAGGTTGTCGCTGTTGCTGTGCTGGGCCTCCTTCCGGCCCTGGTAGTAACTGGAGAGCTTGTCGCGCAGCACCTGGCCGGGAAGAGGAGAAAGGGCTGGCAGAAGCCGTGCGGGGGGGGGGAGGGCACGGTGCCAGGCTCAGGTGGGCACGGAGGACCCCAAAGCCCATCCCGGAGCAGGTGGGACCAGGTCCTCCGCCCCTACTTCTTTTCCAGGCAGGAAGAAGAAGGGCCGGAACAAGAGGGCGCTTGGCACTTGCAGCCGGCTGTGCCCGGGCACTGCCCGCTGCGTTCGGGAGTCGGGAAGAGGGCCACGCCGCCCCACCCCTGGTGCCACTTGCCTCATACAGGTAGTCAAAGATCTCCAGAAGGGTGAGCAGGCTGGCCCCAATGAACAGGCCCATTTGGCCCCCAATGTCCCCTGGAAAGGCAAAGCGGGGCCCCGTCAAGAGCGTCGGCACCCTCCCTTGGCGCCGGCTGCCGTGTCCCTCCTGCCAACGTTGAGGGTCACCCCTTAATGCAGAGGCCGCCAACCTTTTGGGCACCAGGGACCGCTTCCGTGGAGGGAGGGTTTTCCGCGGACCGGAGGGCGCACGGTTTTGTGTGCTGCCCGTCCCCCACTCCATGGATGGGGCTTTGTTTGTGCGGACCGGTTGCTGGCGTGCCGCGGCCTGCTACCGGTCCACGGACCCAGGAGTTTGGAGACCCCTGCATTAAGGCTCCAATCTCAGGCCGGGACGTCGCGGACGCGCTGAGCCCAGACCTCAGTTTCCCCGTAGGCTGCCCACGTGCAGAACGTATCCTTCCAATTGCTAAGCTGGAGCTTTGAGGAGGGGGGGGTTAGTTTTGGAGGGTGAAAGCAGCCCCCAGCCTTGGTAGCGTTTCCTGGGATGTTGGCCCTGGCTCCACCCACCCTGAGATGGCGTTGTATCATCAGTACTGGAGGAGGAAGAGGAAGAAGAAGGAGAAGAAAGAAGAAGAAGAAGAAGAAGAAGAAAAGAAGAAGAAGAAGAAGAAGAAGAAGAAGAAGAAGAAGAAGAAACAGAGGAGGAGGAGGAGGAAGAAGAAGAAGGAGGAGCTTGGCTGTTTCCTTGCAGACGTTTCATGACCCAACTAGGGAACATCATCAGTGTGAGGAGGAGGAAGAAGCACTGGAGGGTCTTGGTGCTCTCTGAGCTGGGCGGTTTCCTTGCAGACGTCTTGTGACCCAACTAGGGAACATCATCAGTGCTAGAAGGGAGGAGGAGGAGGAGGAGGAGGAGGAGGAGGGAAAGGACTGTGGGGTCCCTGGTGCTCTCTGAGCTGGGTGGTTTTCTTGGAGACGTTTCACGACCCAACTAGGGAACATCATCAGTATTGGAAGAGGAGGAGGAGGAAGAAGAAGAAGAAGAGGAAGAGGAAGAAGAAGAAGAGGAGGAGGAGGAGGAGGAGGAGGAGAGGAAGACAACGACAGATGGGATCCTTGGTGCTCTCTGAGCTGGGTGGTTTTCTTGCAGACATTTCATGACCCAACTAGGGAACATCATCAGTGCTAGAAGGAAGGAGGAGGGGGGGAAAGGACTGTGGGGTCCCTGGTGCTCTCTGAGCTGGGTGATTTTCTTGGAGACGTTTCACGACCCAACTACGGAACATCATCAGTGCTAGAAGGGAGGGGGAGGAGGACTGTGGGGTCCTCGGGGCTCTCGGCGCCGCGTGGCTTCCTTGCCGACCTTTCGTCACCCAACGAGGCAGCGCCCTCAGTGCTCCTGTCCTACTGCGTCCGTTTCGCCGCTCCGCTTTAAGGCAGCTCTGCTCTTTGAGGGGAGGGGGGGGAAACGACCCCACCCTTGATTTAACTGCCCTGAGAAATTTAAGCTGAAGGTCATTTCGGTCTTCTGATGGAGGCGGGTCAGAACCCGCAGGGTATGAGATGGGGGGGCAAAGGCTTTGGACCCCCCCCCCCGGCAAAGCAGGAACAGGGCCTCTTTCCAGGAGCGCAGCAGATAGCTGCGGAGGAGGACAACTGGGAAACGGGCCGGGGGAGACCCTTGTGAGGCCGGGCCTGGCCAAAATCTGCCAGGAGGGAGACCCACGGGGTCTTGCGCATCGGCTCAGCCAGCCACAGGTTGAAGATCCCCCCCCCGCGCGCCAAAGCCGGACAGCGGCGGTCCAGCTCCTCGGCCACTCACCCAGCAGGCCGGCCACCTCGTAGGCCTTCTTCTGCTCGATGGTCTCGTAGTTCAGGGCTTCAAAGAAGATGTCCAGCACCAGCAGGTTCTCCCTGGGGACCGAGGGCAGAGGGTCACCCGCCGTGTTGGCAGAGGGCAGGGGGCCACCCCCAGCATTCCTTGGGAGTCGTCCTTCCGTGCCGGAGCGGAGAGTCCCCCCAACCCTCTCCGGCTCGCGGAACAGGGAGGGGAGAGAGGGGATAGGTTGACGCGAGCGGTGGGCACGCATTTGTAGCTCCAGTTGCACAAGTGATGCAGATCCACTTGTGTGAGCGGCAGGCACGAGTGTGCAGCTCCATTCGCGCGAGCGGCAGGCACGTGTGTGCAGCTCCATTTGAGCGAGGGGTGGATGTGTGTGTAGCTCCATTGGCGCGAGTGGTGCAGCTCCACTCGTGCGAGCGGCAGGCACATGTGTGTAGCTGCATTTACGCAAGCGGCAGGCACACATCTGCAGCTCCATTTGCACATGTGCAGCTGCATTTGCGCAAGCAGCCGACATGCATGTGCAGGTATTTGCACGAGCAGCAAGCACATGCAGCTCCCCTTGCACAAGAGGTGAGCATACATGTGCAGCTCCACTTGCGTGAGCAGCAGGCATGTGTGTGTAGCTCCATTTGAGCGAGTAGGGGATGTATGTGTGCAGCTGCATTTGCCCGAGCAGCAGGCACGCACAGGCGCTTTCCCGCTGCCGACGTCAGTGAAGATGCCTACTTCTGCGTCCCGGTAGTGGGCTGCAGCCCAGAGGTTGGGGATCCTTGCTGTAGTGGGTTTCTCTTTGGTCTGTGCCCCGAGCCTTGGTGGGCCGAGCAGGTCCGTGGCGGGACAGCAGCAGGGATGACGGGCGTGGGGCTCAATCCCTTGTGCGCGTGGATACACAGGGCGGGGCCACTCACGCAATGTACTGCTCGCTCCGATTGTACTTCCGGGCGAGATACTTGGCGGAGGCCTTGCTGGGGATCTTGACCACGGAGAGCTCCTTGTTGTAGCGCACCGCCTCACAGGGCATCAGGCAGGAGCAGAAGTTGTTGTCCTTCTCCACCAAGAACTCTGGAGCAAAGGGGGAGAGCAGAGTTGCTCGCAACAAGCACCCACCCCACAGCCTCCCCGTCCCCAGAAGGCGAGGAGAGGTTTCCGGCTCACCCAGGGCGGGGTCCGCACATTCCTTGTACTGCTCCGGGCTGCAGACGTTGGCGTTGCCTGTCCGGGGGAAGAGCAGAGATCAAGGGGTGGGGTGAGAAGCCTAGTGGACGGATCCCTTCAATGGGAGCCGGCCATGTTAGCCAAAAAAGCTATCACCGAGGCGTGGAATGAAAACCGCAGGAGGTTATTAGCACCACTTTGTAAAGCCTCGGGAAGAAGGCCACTTCCTGGAATGCCTGCATCCAATGTTGGTCCCCCACATCACAAAAAAGAGGTTGAGATTTTGGAAACCCGCCCTTATTGACAAACGAGTTCCTAACACAAAGAATGAAACCAGACCCACACTCACAAAAACCACACAGGATGTCACCACCACACATCCACCCAAAAAGCAAACCCAAACCCACACCGATGATGAGGCATGACCACAAACCAGAAGCCAGACCACAGCTGCATCATTAGCCACTTTAAACCTCTCCAATCATACATGAAGCAAATTGACACCCACCATGAAGATGAGGCACGACCACTAATGCGAAGACAAACAACAGCAGTGCAGCTCATCATCTCAAAGTCCCCTGCAACTCAGACTAACCCGAGCACAACAAAGCCCTCACCCAAACAGAACACTCCCCCATCCAATCAGAGCACAGCCAACCCTCCATCCAATCAGAGCACAGCCAAGCCCTAACCAATCAGAACACACCTCCACCCAATCAGAACACAGCCAAGCTCCCACCCAATCAGTTAATACCCCCACTGGCAGTTAAAAGGAAGAAACAGCTACAATCACACATTGCTCCTAGAAGCATGAAGCCGAAAACACCAGCCTGAAGATGACGAATGGGACTTTGTCAAAACGTCACCAAGACACTTCCAATTTGACACGGGAGAAAACCCGAATAACCAAGGACCTACATACAAACACCCGCGAAAACCTCAGAAAACATATATATATATCCTCTCCATCTCTTTCCATCTCTCTCCTCTCTCCTCTCTCCATCTTTCTCTCTCAAACTTCTTCTGAACAGATGCCCAAACTCTCTCTCTCTCTCTCCATCTTTCTCTCCCCCCCCTATATATATATATATCTATCTTTCTCCCACTCTCCTCCCCCCTACCTCTCATATTGAGACTTTGCTCCCATTGCTGGAGCTGCGGCGGGCGCCCTTTCGGCGTGACGCATCCAGCCCAGGGGCTGGCAGTGCGACACCCATGAACTAAAAGCCCGGAGACAAAAACATACGAAGGACAGTTGCAGGAATTGGGAATGTCCAGTCTGGAGAAAAGAAGGACTGGGGGGGGGGGAACCTGATAGCGGCATTCCGGTCTTTGAGGGGCTGCCCCAAAGAAGACTGGGGGGGTCCACCTCTTCTCCAAAGCCCCAGGACGAGAAACAACGGGTAGAAACGCATCAAGGAGAGAAGCAAACTGGAATCGAGGACAATTAACCAGTGGAACGGCTTGCCACTAGAAGCGGCGGATGCTCCATCACTGGAGGTTTTCAAGAAGAGGCGTGTCTTGTCTCAACTGCTGTAGGGTTTCCTGGCTGGACTAGAGAACCTTCAGGGTCCCTTCCCGCTCTTATTCCGAGAAGGGATTAGACTCAGCTCAGCCCCCACCTCACCCCCCCACCCTGACCTGGCATATGCACCATGCGGCAGTTGCAGTTCTCGGCCAGGTAGCGCGTCTCACAGTCGAGGCGGCAGGCGGCTGCGCTGTAGTTGGGGAAGAACGCCGACACGGCGGGGGTGGCCTGGCAGTCCCCCCAGGGGGCCGGCAGGTAGAAGAGCTGCGGGCGATAGCAGGGCGAGGGTCAGCCCACCCCGGAGGAGGACCCCGGAGTCCCCGGATCACACACAGATCCCAGATTCGGGGAGGGGGCGGATCTGGTCCTGCTGGGAAGGCTGCCCCACCATCCGGGTCCCACCGGGGTCATCGAGCGAGTCAATACCCTCTGCTCCTGGCAAGAGACGAAGGTCTGGAATCCGGGGGCCACTCCGAAGCCCAGCTGGTCGATGGACGGGGGCTCGCTCTGGCTGTGGATCTGCACCTTCACGCCGGCCTCGTAGGAGGTCTCGTCTGCGAGGCATAGAGGGAGGGGGGGCTCCCCTGGGTCAAGGGGGAGACACAGGGGACCCATCCTCCCCTCCCGGGCCCAGCCCCTCCTGGCTACTTCCTGGGCCTGGCTGCCGATGCTCTTCCTCCGTCCGGGAGCAGGGTGGCTGCTGGGCCCACTATCCCCGAAGCCCACTCCGGAGACCCTGGTGTTTAGCGAGCGAGGGAGGAAGACCCCTCCCCATTTGCAGACCTTCCCTCGCAGCCCCTCCTGGCAGGGGCGGGATGAAACTCCGGCGCCCTCCGGGCAGTAGGGCCACACGGGTCCCAGGAGGGAGGGAGGGATCCAGAGCGCTCACCGGTGTCCCCCCAGACGGGCAGGTACTCGTCCTGTTGGATGTTCAGCATCAGCTCCAGGCCGTTGCCCGTCCCGCCCTTGACCGTGGTCAGCAGCTCGTAGCCGGCGGCGCCCGAGTTGAAGGTGTAACACTTGCCCAGGCGGGTGTAGCTCTGCGGGGCAGCGGAGGGAGGGAGAGTCAGACCCATGGAGGGGAATCAGGGAGGAAGGGAAAGAGGGAGGAGGAGAGAAAGAGACGGAGGGAATGAAAAGAGACAGAATAAGAATGGAATTAAAAAGAACGAAAGAAATCGACAAGGCCGGGACCTGCCCCTTCGTCACAAGTACAACTCATTTTGGAAACGAATCACCTTCTCGCGAGCCAGGCCCGTGATGCTCGTGTTTGAAACTGATATCACTGATACGATTCGAAAACGGTCATCAAGGCCAACCGTCAACCGTATATGAACATGAGCTGGGGATCACGTATTCCATAACAAATTCGTTTGTTTAACTTTCTGGACCGAGGTTATATTATTTTTACATTTTGCATAACGTTAGTGGCACAGTGCTGTAGCTGCCAAAAAAGAAGAGGGAATTAAGCTATTTTCCAAAGCCCCTGAAGGCAGGACAAGAAGCAACGGATGGAAGGAAACTAATCAAGGAGAGAAGCAACCTAGAACTACGGAGAAACTTCCTGACAGTGAGAACAATTAACCAGTGGAACCACCTGCCTCCAGAAGCGGCGGATGCTCCAACACTGGAAGTTTTTAAGAAGAGACTGGACCGCCATTTTGTTTGAAATGGTGTAGGGTCTCCTGCCTGAGCAGGGGGTTGGACTAGATGACCTCCAAGGTCCCTTCCAACTTTATTATGACTATCGATTAATAACAATAAGAATTCTGTTTGCTTAATGAGGAAAAAAATATTGATTAACCAGGAGAGGAGGTGTCGGATGATGTAATGTTGGATTTAGTTTGACGCTTATTATGTACCACGGAATTACTAATGGACCCAGTCAACGCGTTGTCTATTAAGCACTGCTTTGTCAAAATAGGAAATGAGAAGAATATTTATTAAAAACAATAATAATAATAATAGTAATTTTAGAAACTAATCACCTCGGGAGCAAGTCCACGAAGGCCCGTGACCCTCACGTGACCGGGGCTGCGGACGCATTCACGCGGGCGCGCGCCAGCCAGCCATTCACGGGGTCCGGTTGGGAACAGGCCATCGACCGGTCGTGGGTTGTGGCCAATAGGTTGGAACCCCTGCTCTCAGCCCGACACCTTCCGGCCTTTTCGTCAGGAGCAACGGTCTGGCGCGCCCTCCACGCCGTCCTTGTCCGGAGAGGAACGCCAAAGAATTGGTCCGCTTGCCCGGTCTTCGTTCCATCGCAGTTGTTCCCCTTTCGCTCCCCTTCTTCCCCGGAAGTCCCGGTGCTTTGCACAATAATAATAAAGTTGGAAGGGACCTTGGAGGTCATCTAGTCCAACCCCCTGCTCAGGCAGGACATCCTATACCACTTCAGACAAATGTCTGTCTGTCTGTCTGTCTGTCTGTCTGTCTGTCTGTCTCTATCTATCTATCTATCTATCTATCTATCTATCTATCTATCTATCTATCTATCTAAATAATAATAATAATAATAATAATGTTGGAAGGGACCTTGGAGGTCATCTAGTCCAACCCCGTTCAGGCAGGACATCCTATACCACTTCAGACAAATGTCTGTCTGTCTGTCTGTCTGTCTGTCTGTCTCTATCTATCTATCTATCTATCTATCTATCTATCTATCTATCTATCTATCATAATAATAATAATGTTGGAAGGGACCTTGGAGGTCATCTAGTCCAACATCCAACACCACTTCAGACAAATGGATATCTATCTGACTGTGAGAACAATTAACCAGTGGAACCACCTGCCTCCAGAAGCAGTAAATGCTCCAGCACTGGAAGTTTTTAAGAAGAGACTGGACAGCCATTTGTCCGAAATGGTGTAGGGTTTCCTGCCTGAGCAGGGGGTTGGACTAGATGACCTCCAAGGTACCTTCCAACTTTATTGTTATTATTACTATTATTACTATTATTATTATTAATCCACCATCTATCCATCTATTAATAATAATAATAAAGTTGGAAAGGACCTTGGAAGTCATGTAGTCCAACCCCCTGCTCAGGCAGGACACCCTATAGCACTTGAGACAAATGGCTGTCCAGTCTCTTCTTAAAAACTTCCAGTGTTGGAGCATCCACAGCTTCTGGAGGCAGGTTGTTCCACTGGTTAATTGTTCTGTCAGGAAGTTTCTCTTTAGCTTTAGGTTGGTTAGTTTCCATCCATTGCTTCTTTTCCTGCATTCCGTCGCTTTGGAGAATAGCTTGACTGCCTCTTCTTTGGGGCAGCCCCTGAGATATTGGAACACTGCTATCGTGTCCCCCCTCGTCCTTCTCTTTGTTAAACTAGACATACCCAATTCCAGCAGCCTTTCCTTATATGTTTTAGCCTCCAGTCCCCTGATCCTCTTTGTTGCTCTTCTCTGTACTCTTTCTAGAGTCTCAGCTCTCACCATCTTTTTGACACCGTGGGGACCAAAGCCGGACGCCGTATTCCAAGCGTGGCCTTACCAAGGCCTTGCAAAGTGGTAGTAACACTTCACGTGATCTTGATTCTGTCCCTCTGTTAATGTAGCCTAGGACTGACTGTGTTGGCCTTTTTGGGCAGCTGCAGCCCATGGCTGACTCATATTTAAGGGATGGTCCACTAGGACTCCAAGATGCCTCTCACAATTGCTACTCTTGGGCGAGGTTCCCCCTATACCAGGGGTAGGCAACCCAAAACACTCAAAGAGCCACTTGGACCCGTTTCCCACCAAAAACAAAACAGTGGGAGCCGCAAAACCCTTTTGATATCTAAAATGAAGATAACACTGCATATATCCTTTTTTTACCTTTATTATAGGTGTGTGTATGTGTATGTGTGTGTGTGTATGTGTATGTGTATATGTGTATATATATATATATATATACACACACAGACACACAGACACACAGACACACATATACACATTAAAAATAAAAGTAAAAATATGACTCTTGGGAATATCCATACTATTAAAACAATGATCACCAAGAGAATGCTTTAAGAGAATAAAATTACATACACACACAGGTAAAAAAAGGATATATGCAGTGTTATCTTCATTTTAGATGTCAAAAGGGTCTCTCTCTCCCTCCCTCTCTATCTGCCCTTGGTCTGCCACTCCTCTTCCCCACTCTCTCTCTCTCTCCTCTCTCTCTCTCTCTCTCTCTCTCTCTCTCCTCCCCCTCCTATCTGCTGCTCACCTGGCAAGCTTCAAGCTGTTGTCCAACAACCTCCGGGGTAGGCAACCTCGTCTCTTTTATGACTCATGGACTTCAACTCCCAGAATTCCTGAGTCAGCCTAGCTGGGCTAGCTAGCTCTCTCCTGCCCTTCCTGCTTCCTGCTTCCTGCAGAGACGCAGCAAAGGGAGGGGCTCTGCCCAGTAAGCTTTTCAGCTCCTCGGAGAACACTGTGAGTGCACTCTCTTTTACACACACACACACACACACACACACACACACACAGAGAGAGAGAGAGAGAGAGAAGCAAGGAAGCGCAATTGCCTCTCTCTGTCTCTCTCTGCAAAGGCAGAGGAGGCTGGGAGCCACAGGGGAAGGCTCAAAGAGCCGCATGCGGCTCCGGAGCCGCAGGTTGCCGACCTGTGCCCTATACTATACCTGTATGTGTGGTTTTTCTCGCCTAAATGTAGAACCTTGCTTTTTTCACCCTTGAATTTCATTTTGTTAGATAGCGCCCAGTGTTCGAGTCGTTCCAGATCCTCCTGTATCTGAAGCCTGTCTTCTGGAGTGTTGGCTATTCCTGCCAGCTTGGTGTCGTCTGAAAATTTGATGAGTTCCCCATCTATCCCTTCATCCAAGTCATTGATGAAGATGTTGAAGAGTACTGGGCCCAGAACAGAGCCCTGGGGCACCCCACTACACACTTCCCTCCGCGTAGACGGGGTACCATTGAGGACCACACGCCGAGTACGGTCGGTCGTCCATCTACGGATCCGTCTGGTGGTGATGCCGTCTAGCCCACATTTTTCTATCTCATCGAGTAGTAGGTTGTGATCTACTTTATGGAATGCCTTGCTGATGTCCACGTAAATTAGATCCACCGCGTTCCTCCGGTCCACCAATTTTGTCATTTGGTCGAAGAATGCGATAAGATTCGTCTGGCGTGAGCTGTGTTTGACCAACCCACGTTGGCTTTTCGAGATGACTTTGTTTGCCTCTAGGTGTTTGTTGATTCGTTGCTTGATTACCTTTCCCAGAATCTTCCCAGGTATTGAGGTCAGGCTGATAGGTCTGTCGTTTCCTGGATCCATTCCCTCCCCCCCCTTTTTTTTGAAGAATTGTCCTTCAAGACCAGCGGTTCTCCACCTGTGGGTCGGGACCCCATTTGGGGTTGAACAACCATTTCACGGGGGTCACCAAACAACGCAGTCCGCCATTTCCCCCCCCCCCTTTCCTTAGCTGGGCTACTCCCTTTTATTCTATTGGCTTTGGAAAGCCAATAGAAGAGACTCTCTTGAACAGAGTCTCATTCTATTGGCTTTCCAAAGCCAATAGGAATGGTCCAGGCTGTCTCTGCCCGGCTGAGCCCGCCAAAAGTCCCAGTCTGCAAACGGGGCTGCACCACTTGAGTAGTCCTCGACTTACGACCAGTGGAGTAGTTCTCGACGTACGACCAGTTGGGGGTCACGGCATTAAAAAGGTTGAGAACCACTGTTCAAGACGCTGTCGCATTCGGCGGACACAGCTGGAGGTCAAGTTGCCAACAGTCGCAAAAAAAGGCCAGTCCTTCAGCAGGCGTCTCATGGATTCCCTTCTTCACCCCCCCCCACTTCTTGGGGATGTGTGCGTGCGTGCGTGTGTGTGTGTGTGTGTGTGTGTGTGTGTGTGTGTGTGAAGGGGTGCACCTGGCTAGCAGATTCTGGTGTTTCTGCCCTGTGGGCGGTTTCAACTCTTCTGCGGCTCCTCAAAATCAAGGGTCAGTTGACAGAGGAGACACGGAAGGGACAGGCTAGACGGCCTCGGGGTTCCCTTCTCGCCCCTTTCCCCCTCCTGTCTGTAGACCCAGCCCCCCAATTGAGGCAGAGCCATACCACCCAATAGCCATCATCTCAGCTGGTGGGTTCAAATTGTGCTAGCGTGGTGGACGCCTCTTCCAGATACGGCTGACGTAGCACCTGGGTGTAACCGGAGTGCCCTTCGGGAGCCGACAGGAGGAAGGGCTGGAGCAGCAGCAGCTGTCACTACCAGCGGCCCACCCCCTGCCACCACCTCTTGGCATCCCTACAGACCCTCTTATCCCCCCCCCTCCACCTCGCCCGGCATCCAGAGCAACAGGGCACTGGAAGAGGAGGAGGGCTGGGGAAGAGTAGCACAATTCGGGGCGCTGAGCTTCACCGGGGCTGCTGCCCCCCCCCTTGTTCGGGAGCTAACCTGGAGAAGGAGACTGCCATGCCCCCCCTGCATGCTGGGCGCTGCCTCCCAACAAAGGAATTGGCACCAGGGTAGCACGGAAGCCACCCAATGGACCCTTACCACAGGGGTCCCCAACCATTGGGCCGCGGTCGGGGAGTGGGCCGTGGGCTGCCGGCCACTGGGCCACAGGACAAGCTAGCCAGTGCATGCACACACACACACACCACTTGTGCTAGCGCCGTAGTGCAGGGCGCAAAAACAGGACGCTCTGCCTTGCGGTGCAAAGACGGGACACTGCCATGCCTCGGGGTGCAAAAACGGGACGCCGTGTGCCTCGGGGTGCAAAAACGGGACGCCGTGTGCCTCGGGGTGCAAAAACGGGATGCCGCGTGCCTCGGGGCACAAAAACGGGATGCTGCGTGCCTTGGGGATCAAAAATCGGACATTGCCACACCTCTGGGTGCAAAAACGAGATGCCGTGTGCCTCACGGTGCAAAAACGGACCACCGCCGCATCTCGGGGTACAAAAAGGGGATACTGCACATCTCGGGGTGCAAAACAGGACACCCCCTTGTTGCAGGGTGCAAAATTGGGACACCGCCGCACTGCAGGGTAAAAAAAAAAACCTGGGTCAACGCCACGCCTCAGGACCCCAAAACGGGACGCCGCACCTCACTGCGTGAAAACGGGCCAACGCTGCGCTTCAGGGTGCAGGAACAGGGCGCCGTGCGCCAGAACGGGGCAGGGGTAGCGAGTATCATGCCTCATTTGCGTCGCCTGCATGCTTGCGGCCCCGTGTGCGAGCGCACCTGCGTGGGTGCTTGTGTAAAATGCTTCCCCCCTCTGCCTTACCCCGTGCGCCGTTCCTTCAGGTTTCTGGGCACCTGGCCCTCCAATTTTCTCCCCGCCCCCCCCTAGAGGGTCTCGTTCAGAGCCAGGTCCGTGGGGGGGGGGGCTGGGGTTAGCCAGCCAGCTCCTCCCACCCCTGCTGTCAAGGGGAGGGCCAGGTTCAGAATTCCCATGTCGGGAATTCGGCCTCGTCCGCCGCGGGGACAGGACGGGCCCACGGGCCCTCTGAGACTCTCGCGGTGGGCTTCCCATCCCAGCGGTGTGCCGGGGTGACTGACTCCCCATGGCTAAAGCGGGGCACAGCAGCGCCAGCCACCTGGCACGGAGGCCCGAAACAATAGGGGGAGGGGTTGCTCTGCAGCCAAGGGGTGGCCCCGGAGCGGAAGCCAGGAGCACTCACAGGGCTGAAGTTCCCGGCGCCACAGACCCGGTTCCCGAAGCGGCATCGCAGAAGCATGTCCTCCAAGGCGTGGCCCGTGCGCTCCACGAATTCCCGAGTGTTGAAGCTCCTGCTGGGGACGGCACGGGGGGCCTCGGGGTCGGGCCAACCCATCGCTCAGTCGTACGCCGGGTGGTCAGACCGCTCCACGCCCAGCAGCTCTCGACCCGCCCAGTGCAGGTCGCTGGGGGTCAGCCGGGAGCGCCGGACCCAGTTGACATTGCAGAACGTGACGGCCGGGAAGGTCAGCCGTCGGCCCTCTTCCTCCTCCAGCGCCGTGACGTGGCTGTACGCGGCGTAATGCTGAATCCGCTCGGCCACCTGGTACAGGACGATCCCCAGGGCGGCCAGGACAGCCGCGGCCCAGGCCGTGCGGCGCGGCGTCAGGGGCCCCGCCAGGAAGACGTGGCGGATGCCGTGCAAGGTACACCTGCCGGCAAAGGCCACCAGGTTGGGGGCCGCCTCCGCCTCCGGAGACTCCATCACCGTCGGCTGGCTCTGCTTTCGGCTGCTGGGGGCTGCCACGGCGCTCCGCTGCGCCTGGAGGATCGTGTGTCAAAGCTGGAGTCCGGTGACGCTGGTCCTGGCGGAGGGAGGGGCCTGGCCTGTAATCCAGACATGCCCCCCCCCTGGGTCAGGTGGGAGCAACTAGAGAAGGGAAGGGAAGTGGCAAGGAGTATAAATCCTCCCATTCCCCCAAGATCCGGTCAGAGCTGAAGAAGCTTCTTGGACGAGAAGCGAAACGTCTGCAAAGAATAATAAGAAGTTCCCACGAGGACACAGATAAACATCCGTGGCCTCAACGACTCTCCGAAAGGAGACAAATGACCAGCGGTCTGCAAGGAGGATAAATCCTTCCATTCCTCACCATCCAGTCAGAGCTGAAGAAGCTTCTCAGGATGGGAAGGGAAACGCCTTCAAAGAATAATAAGGAAGTCCGAGGAGGACACAGATAAATCTCCAAGTGGCTTCAACGCCTCTCTAAAATAATGCACATGACCAGCGGTCTACAAGGAGGATAAATCCTTCCATTCCCCACCATCCAGTCAGAGCTGAAGAAGCCTCTCGGGATGGGAAGGGAAACACCTTCAAAGAATAATAAGGAAGTCCCACAAGGACACAGATTAATCTCCAAGTGGCCTCAACGCCTCTCTAAAATAATGCAAATGACCAGCGGTCTGCAAGGAGGATAAACCATTCCCCACCATCCAGTCAGAGCTGAAGAAGCCTCTGGGATGAGAAGCCAAAAGCTCTTCAAAGAAAAACCGGAAGGTCAAATTTAGTTCCTTATAATTTCCCCTGCTCCCCGGAGACACTTTTTCTAGTGGCTAGGGCATCACGCTAGATCTCAAGGAGCCTGACATGCTACAGAGGGAGGAGGATGCATCGGATCCCCCAGCTGGCTCACTGTCCTGCCTTGGGTGCGAACTGGATGTGCCAGACTGACGACAAAGCAGTCAGACCAACACCCGAGTCCCAATGGGGCGGGCGAAGTGATAAACGGCCTCCGTTTGGGGGCTGTCGGCGCCTCGGCCGTAAATGATCACGGCCGCCGAGTTGCGAGGACGCTCGGCCGACCCGTCGCTCGGCGTGCTATACGCCGAAGGATACATCACGGAGAGAGATTATTAGTCCCTTGCAGAATTACAGAATAACGGAGTTGGCAGGGGCCTCAGAGGTCATCTAGTCCAGCCCCCTGCTGCTTGAGTAGGAGACCCTTACAGAACAGTAGAATAAGACTTGGGACTTCGGAGGTCATCTAGCCCAACCCCTGGCTCACGCAAGGAGACCCTACACCATTTCAATCAATCAGAATAGAGTTGGAAGGGGCCTCAGAGGTCACCTAGTCCAACCCCCTACTCAAGCAGAAGACTCTTACAGAATAACAGAGTTGGAAGGGACCTCGGAGGTCATCTAGTCCAACCCCCTGCTGCTCGAACAGGAGACCCTTACTGAACCATAGAATAAGACTTTCAAGGGACTTCGGAGGTCATCTAGCCCAACCCCCTGCTTGAGCAGGAGACCCTTGCAGCATTACAGAATAACGGAGTTGGCAGGGGCCTCGGAGGTCATCTAGTCCAGCCCCCTGCTGCTCGAGCAGGAGACCCTTACAGAACCATAGAATAAGAGTTGGGACTTCGGAGGTCATCTAGCCCAACCCCTGGCTCACGCAAGGAGACCCTACACCATTTCAATCAATCAGAATAGAGTTGGAAGGGACCTCAGAGGTCACCTAGTCCAACCCCCTACTCGAGCAGAAGACTCTTACAGAATAACAGAGTTGGAAGGGACCTGGGAGGTCATCTAGTCCAACCCCCTGTTGCTCGAGCAGGAGATCCTTATTCTCTGGCGGGCGAAGTGATAAACGGCCTCGGTTTGGAGGCTGTCGTCGCCTCGGCCGTAAACGATCACGGCCACCGAGTTGCGAGGACGCTCGGCCGATTCCGTCGCTCGGCGTGCTATACGCCGAAGGATACATCACGGAGAGAGATTACTTTATGCTTTCGATTGGATCGTGCAGGGGTCCACAAGCCCCGACCCGCGGCCCGCGACCGGTCCACAGCCCGTTCAGAACCGGGCAGCGGAAGAGGCCACCTGGGCGGCCTCCGTTTGTGCACATGGAGCTGCGCACGCGCGCGCAGGATGCCACACCGCGCAAAAACGGACTGCTGCCGCGCCTTGGGGCACAAGCACAGGATGCCGCCACGCCCCGGGGTGCAAAAATGGGACGCAATTAAGGTGCGGAAAAGAGGCCGATGCCGCATCTCGAAGAGCATCAACGGGCCGCTTGCCAGAACGCGGGGGTGCGAAAATGGCCCGGCGCCGTGCCTCGGGGCCCAAAATGGGGCGAGGCTGCGCCGAGGCTGTTCCCTCAGATTGGCTGTTTTCTTGCCGACGTCTCGTGACCCAACTAGGGAATATCATCAGTGCGACAAGGGAGGGGAGTGTGGGAGGAGGAGGATCAAAGAGGTGTTCTCTGAGTTTGGCTGTCTTCTTGCAGACGTCTCGTGACCCAACTAGGGAACATCATCAATGCCAGCGAGTGTGGGAGGAGGAGGAGGAGGAGCTCCCGTGAAGAGGGAGGAGCCAGGTTCCTTCCCAGCTCCCCCCCCAGGAGGATTCATGGGTGGGAGATGGCCCCAAAGGGGGAGGGCAGGAAGGCCCTTCCCCGCTGGAGATGCCGCCATAGCAACCGTCTCCCGCCGCCTCCGCCCTCCGGAGAGATGGGAAGATCACCATGACAACCGACCAGCCCCAGAAGAGCAGATGGACCAAAGAGGCGGGGGTGGGGTGGGGTGGAATCCGAGGAGGGGAGCAGGCCCGGAAGAGTCTCCCGTCCCGGCCTGGATGCGAGTTCGAGAGGCGCCCGCAACCCCGGCCGGCAAGGGGCGGCGGGAGGTGTGGCCGGCTCCCGGCCCTCAAGACAAAAACAGGTGCCTGGTGGTGGTGCCCCGAGCCTCCTGGGAAAGAGGGGTAGACTGCTCCCGCGGCTGGAGGCTCGCGTTCGAATCCTCCCCCTCCCTCCAGCCCAAGCCTTGGGTCTCTCTGGGAAGAAACCATGGTTGGCTTGAGACGGGGAGGGGCACGCTCCATCTCTGCAACCAAGGGGGGGGGGCGTCCCAAGTGCCGAGGAGCCAAGAGCCCCCACCTCTTTGAAAGAGTGGACCCTCCCTTAAACCCCCTCCCCTAGATCCTTCTCTGGATTGACGGCTGCCTCAACCCTCTTCAGCTCATCCCGCTTTGTAAGTGCCCCCACCACAGCTCCCAAAGGGAGACCCCCCCCAAAGAGAGAGACCCCCCTAAAAGGGAGACCCCCCACCCTTGCCATCTGCCCCCTTTCCGATTTGAGCATAGATACCCCCCCCGAAAGAGGGGGGGCAAGGCAAAACGGAAAAGCCTTTTGTGTGTTTGTGTGTGTGTGTGTGTGTGTGTGTCCCAGACAGAGGGAGCCCCCCTTCGCGTAGGGGGCAGCCCGAGACCCCCCTGCAGTTAAAACAGGGGCTCCCTCCGGCCTGCTGGGGGGGGGCAGTCCAGCCCAAGGGGTTGAGCTGGGGGGGGTTCAGAGGGGTGACCCCCCCTCCACCCCACACCCCCCCCAAGGAGCCTTTGGGGCCGGAGCCCTGGGAAGAGGAGGGGGTCCGACGACGGGTGGAGGGAGGTAAAAAAAGAATCTGGGGATCAGAATCAGAAGAGAGCTGGAAGGGAACCCGGGAGGTCATCTAGTCCAGCCCCCTGCTGCTCGAGCAGGAGACCCTAGACCAGGGGTAGGCCACCTGGGCTCTTTGATGACTGGTGGACTTCAACTCCCAGAATTCCTGAGCCAGCCATGCTGAAGGGAAAGGGAGAGGTTTCCAAGCTGAGCCAGGCTGGCTCAGGGATTCTGGGAGTTGACGTCCACCAGTCATGAGGGGGCCATAGTTCCCCCATGCTGGCTCAGGAATTCTGGGAGTTGAAGTCCACGAGTCATAAAAGAGCCAAGGTGGCCTACCCCTTGCCCTAGACCATTTCAATCCATCCATCAATCAGAATAACAGCCGGAAGGGACCTGGGAGGTCATCTAGCCCAGCCCCCTGTTGCTCGAGCAGGAGACCCTGACAGAATCATAGAATGAAGAGCTGGAAGGGACCCTGGAGGTCACCTAGTCCAACCCCTTGCTCCAGCAGGAGACTCTTACAGAATTACCGAATAACAGAGTTGGAAGGGACCTCGAGGTCATCTAGTCCAGCCCCCTGTTGCTCGAGCAGGAGACCCTAACAGAACCATAGAATAAGACTTGGAAGGGACCTCGGAGGTCATCTAGCCCAACCCCCTGCTCGAGCAGGAGACCCTTACAGTATTACAGAATAACAGAGTTGGAAGGGACCCCGGAGGTCATCTAGTCCAGCCCCCTGCTCCAGCAGGAGACCCCCCAGACCATTTTAGACAAGGGCAGAAAGGGAGTAGTCTCCCTCCAGGCCTTGGCCCCCAAGGGTCTCCTACCCACTGACGAGGCCTGAGGGTGGGGGGCCCTGCTGCCCCCCCTCCCCTCTCCTGATTGGTCCAGCGCTCCATAGCATCTCCATTGGCTGGGGAAAGCAGCCCACCCCCCCCTCAAATCCACTCCTCCACCTCAGGGAGAATGCGCTCATTCCTGGTTGGGGGGAGGGGCTTCTGGCCCAGCTAGGCTCCTCCCCTCCTTCCTGGTGACCTCACAAAGGCTTCCGGACAGCTGCCCTCCTCCTCCCCCTGGCAGCCCCCTCCTCCCCTAATTCTTCCCCCGCCCCATTTTTCTCTCTGCAGCTCAGCCTGAAAAACCCTCCGCCCAGCAGCCCAGAGCCGGTGAATACAGGCCATCCTCGACTTACGACGGTTTGCTTAGTGACCACTCAAAGTTACAACGCCGCTGAAAAAAAAGGGACCCGTTTTTCGCCCCCACACACCTTGACGACCGTTGGTAGAATCCCCCGCAGGTCCGGTGATGTGCATCCTGGCGCTTAGACCACCGACTCGCATTTACGACGGTCGCAGTTGAGGAGGAAAGTCAAAGGGGAGGGGAGGGGAAGCCCGATTCGCTTAACGACCGTGCGACCGATTTGACCACCGTCACCATCCCCTTCACAAAGGTGGCGAGGACGTGCGTCAAACGGGGCAAGACTGAAGGAATGTCTCGCCGAGCTACCTGGATTCGGGGCGCCACGGTGGTTGCAAAATTGTTCTCCCCCTTTCCAGCCCACCGTCCCCGTTCTTCCGTCCTGGGCCCTCGTCACCCCCAGACTCACCACTGAGAAGTTGCGGGCGCTGCAGTCGATCCCCCGAAAGCTGCAGTGCCAGAGCATCTCGGCCAGGTCGTGGCCCGTCCGGTCGTAGAACTCGGCCATGTCGAAGGGGCCCGCCTTGAAGCCCCGGAAGTTGGCCTTGTCCCGCAGAGCGGCCAGGGTCTCCGGGTCAGCCAAGTGGGTGCCGCTGACCTCGTGGCGGGCGTCCAGCAGGGCCAGCAGAGCCCCGGCGTGGTAGAGGTCGTTGCGGCTCAGTTTGGAGAAGCGGAAGCCGTTCAGGTTGCAGAGGGTGACGGCCGGGAAGGTGAGGTTGGCGACGGCCACCTCGTCCAGCTTGGTGACGTGCGGGTACCGGAAGAAGTAGCCGACGCGCTCGGCGCACACCAGCGCCAGCAGGGCCAGCGAGCCCAGGACGAAGAGGGCCCAGAGGCCGCGGCGCAGGGAGAGCGAGCCGTAGGCGAAGATGTGGCTCACGCCGTGCAGGGAGGAGGAGACCGCGAAGACCTGCAGGCTGGACAGGCGGCCCCCTTCCATGCCGGCCTCTCTCGGGGCGCACGCACCCCTCTTTTGCTCCTCCAGATGCCCGCCTGGCTCAGTCGGGCCCCCTTCTCTCAGTGGTGCCCCGAACACCCATCCGCACCCCCAAATTCAGCCTGGGGAGGGCCTTCTCGCAGCAGTGCCCTGATCCTCCAGGTGCCCCCCGACTTAGCCCGGCTTGGGGGGCAAGGACCTTCGCTCCCCCAACCACCCCGCAACTCAGCCTAACTCGGGGTGCATGGACCCCCTTGTCAGACTTACTCAGCTCCCCCACCTACCCCTGACTCAGCCTGGCTCGGGACGCACAGACCCCCTTCTGTCAGCGGTGCCCCCCCCCCAGCCAACCCCCTGAATCAGCTTGGGGAAGGGCGCAAGGCCCCCTTCTCTCAGCGGCGCCCCGATTCTCAGCCGCTCCCCGAAAGCCTGGGGAGGGGCGCACGGACCCCCCTTCTCTCAGCAGCGCGCCCCTGAATCAGCCTGGAGAGGGGCGCACGCCCCCCCCGCTTCTCTCAGCCTCGCCCCGATCCTCAGTCCCCCCCCCGACTCAGGCTGGGGAGGGGCGCACGGCCCCCCTTCTCTCAGCGGCGCCCCGATCCTCAGCCACCCCCCTGACTCAGCCTGGGGAGGGGCGCACGGACCCCCCTTCTCTCAGCGGCGCGCCCCTGAATCAGCCTGGAGAGGGGTGCACGGCCCCCCTTCTCTCAGCAGCACCCCGATCCTCAGCCACCCCCCTGACTCAGCCTGGGGAGGGGCGCACGGACCCCCCTTCTCTCAGCGGCACGCCCCTGAATCAGCCTGGAGAGGGGTGCACGGCCCCCCTTCTCTCAGCAGCACCCCGATCCTCAGCCGCCCCCCCCACTCAGCCTGGGGAGGGGGGCACGGACCCCCCTTCTCTCAGCGGCGCCCCCCTGAATCAGCCTGGAGAGGGGCGCACGGTTCCCCCGCTTCTTTCAGCCTCGCCCCGATCCTCAGCCGGCCCCCCGACTCAGCCTGAGGAGGGGTGCACGGCCCCCCCTTCTCTCAGCAGCACCCCGATCCTCAGCCGCCCCCCGACTCAGCCTGGGGAGGGGCGCACGGACCCCCCTTCTCTCAGCGGCGCCCCCCTGAATCAGCCTGGAGAGGGGCGCACGGCCCCCCGCTTCTTTCAGCCTCACCCCGATCCTCAGCCGGCCCCCGACTCAGCCTGGGGAGGGGCGCACGGACCCCCCTTCTTTTTCCTTTGCACTGATTCTCAGCCCCCCCCCCGAGTCAGCCTGGGGAGGGGCGCACGGACCCCCGTCTCTCAGCGGCGCCCCCCTGAATCAGCCTGGAGAGGGGCGCACGGCCCCCCGCTTCTTTCAGCCTCACCCCGATCCTCAGCCGGCCCCCGACTCAGCCTGGGGAGGGGCGCACGGACCCCCCTTCTTTTTCCTTTGCACTGATTCTCAGCCCCCCCCCCGAGTCAGCCTGGGGAGGGGCGCACGGACCCCCCGTCTCTCAGCGGCGCCCCCCTGAATCAGCCTGGAGAGGGGCGCACGGCCCCCCCGCTTCTTTCAGCCTCGCCCCGATCCTCAGCCGGCCCCCGACTCAGCCTGGGGAGGGGCGCACGGACCCCCCCCCTTCTTCTTTTTCCTTTGCACTGATTCTCAGCCCCCCCCCCCCGAGTCAGCCTGGGGAGGGGCGCACGGACCCCCCGTCTCTCAGCGGCGCCCCCCTGAATCAGCCTGGAGAGGGGCGCACGGACCCCCCTTCTTTTTCCTTTGCACTGATTCTCAGCCCCCCCCCCGAGTCAGCCTGGGGAGGGGCGCACGGACCCCCCTTCTTTTTCCTTTGCACTGATTCTGAGCCCCCCCCGAGTCAGCCTGGGGAGGGGCGCACGGACCCCCCGTCTCGCACGGACCCCCCGTCTCTCAGCGGCGCCCCCCTGAATCAGCCTGGAGAGGGGCGCACGGACCCCCTTCTCTCTACCTAGCCCCGATCCTCAGCCGCCCCCCCCCGACTCACCCTGGGGGTCTCTCCTGCCCACGGCCCATGTTCCGCGACCCCCGGCCTCCCCCGGCAGCGCAAGCGGAGAGGACGGGGGCGCAACCGGCTCTCCCCCGCCCCCCCCCGGGCATGGAGGCGCGGCCGCCCGCTCTGCGCAACGCCCCAGCTGCGTCCAGCTGTTTTCAGCAGGCGGCGGCTCGTCCGGGGAAGCCTCCGGATCAGAGCCGCCCGCCGGCGCCGGTCAGGCGAGGTGGGGAGGGGTCCGCGGCGGGCTTCCCGTCTCCCCCCCCCCGCTCGTCGCCCCCCTCCCCACGCAGCAGCCCCGACCAGCTCCCGGGTCCTAAGCAGCCGCCGCGCGGAGCCTCGGAGGAGGCGGAGCTTCAGTCAGTCAATCAATCAATCAATCAGAATAGAGCGGGAAGGGGCCTCGGAGGTCATCTAGTCCAGCCCCCTGCTCGACCAGGGGACCCTGACCGAATCACAGTAAGAAAACAGAGTTGGAACGAACCTCAGAGGTCATCCGGTCCAGCCCCCTGCATGGCCAGGAGACCTTTACAGATTTACAGAAAGACAGAGAACCTCGGAGGCCATCTAGACCGACCCCCAGCTCAAGCAGGAGAGAGACCCTTACAGAATGATAGAGTCAAAAGGGACCTCGGAGGCCGTCTAGTCCGACCCCCCCAGCTCAAGCAGGAGATCCTTACAGAAGGACAAGAGTCATACGGGACCTTGGAGGTCATCTAGTCCGACCCCCTGCTCAAGCAGGAGATCCTTACAGAATGACAGAGTCGTAAGGGACCTCGGAGGTCATCCAGTCCAACCCCCTGCTCAAGCAGGAGACCCTTACAGAATGATAGAGTCAAAAGGGACCGCGGAGGCCATCTAGTCTGACCCCCTGCTCAAGCAGGAGACTCTCACAGAATCACAGAGTTGGATGGGACCTCAGAGGTCATCCAGTCCAACCCCCTGCTCAGGCAGGAGACCCTTACAGAATGACAGAGCCGTAAGGAACCTCGGAGGTCATCCAGTCCAACCCCCTGCTCAAGCAGGAGACTCTCACAGAATCACAGAGTTGGATGGGACCTCGGAGGTCATCCAGTCCAACCCCCTGCTCAAGCAGGAGACCCTTACAGAACCACAGAGTTGGATGGGACCTCGGAGGTCATCCAGTTCAACCCCCAGCTCAAGCAGGAGACCCTTACAGAATGACAGAGTCGTAAGGGACCTAGGAGGTCATCTAGTCTGACCCCCAGCAAGCAGGAGACCCTTAACAGAATTACAGAATGACAGTCAGAAGGAACCTTGGAGGTCATCTAGTCCGACTCCCTGCTCAAGCAGGAGACCCTTACAGAATTACAGAATGATAGTCAGAAGGCACCTTGGAGGTCATCTAGTCCAACCCCTAATTCAAGCAGGAGACCCTTTACATAATCACGGAAGGGACTCCGAAGGTCATCCAGTCCAACCTCCAGCTCAAGCAGGAGACCCTTACAGAATGACAGAGTCGTAAGGGACCTTGGAGGTCATCTAGTCCGACCGCCAGCTCAAGCAGGAGACCCTTACACAATCATGGAAGGGACCCTGGAGATCATCCAGTCCAACCCCCTGCTCAACCAGGAGACTCTCGACCTTGCAGACAAGCGGCCGTCCGTCGTGTAAGGAGCCACCTTGCTTACCCCCCCCCAAAGAAAGCAGAACACTTGAAACGGGCTTTGCCCCGAAAGGAAACCTTTATTGGGGGGGGGGGGGAGTGACAGCAAGGAAGTCAAAGCGTGATGCGGGGGGGGGGGGAAATCCCGCTCAAAGCAGCCCCCCTGACCCGCAGAACGGCAGGCCCGAAAACAAGGGCAAGGGGATACACAAACATATATATACACAGGGGAAAGTCAAGTCCCCTGTGATGGGGCAGGCGTGGGTCGCCCAGGATGGGGCAGGTGTGGGTCACAAGGGAGGGTCCTGTGATGGGGCAGGTGTGGCTCACCTGTGATGGGGCAGGTGTGGGTCCCCATGATGGGGCAGGTGTGGGTCACAAGGGAGGGTCCTGTGATGGGGCAGGTGTGGGTTCCCCGTGACGGAGCAGCTGTGGGTCACAAGGGAGAGTCCTGTGATGAGGCAAGTGTGGGTCCCCCGTGATGGGGCAGCTGTGGGTCACAAGGGAGGGTCCTGTGATGGGGCAGGTGTGGGTCACAAGGGAGGGTCCTGTAATGGGGCAGGTGTGGGTCACCCGTGATGGGGCAGGTGTGGGTCACCTGTGATGGGGTAGGTGTGGGTCACAAGGGAGGGTCCTGTGATGGGGCAGGTGTGGGTCACCTGTGATGGGGCAGGTGTGGGTCACAAGGGAGGGTCCTGTGATGGGGCAGGTGTGGGTCCCCCGTGATGGGGCAGCTGTGGGTCACAAGGGAGGGTCCTGTGATGGGGCAGGTGTGGGTTCCCCGTGATGGGGCAGCTGTGGGTCACAAGGGAGGGTCCTGTGATGGGTGTGGGTCACTGTGATGGGGCAGGTGTGGGTCAGGTGTGGGTCACCTGTGATCCTGTGATGGGGCAGGTGGGTTCCCCGTGATGGGGCAGCTGTGGGTCACAAGGGAGGGTCCTGTGATGGGGCAGGTGTGGGTCACTTGTGATGGGGCAGGTGTGGGTCACAAGGGAGGGTCCTGTGATGGGGCAGGTGTGGGTCCCCCGTGATGGGGCAGCTGTGGGTCACAAGGGAGGGTCCTGTGATGGGGCAGGTGTGGGTTCCCCGTGATGGGGCAGCTGTGGGTCACAAGGGAGGGTCCTGTGATGGGGCAGGTGTGGGTCACCTGTGATGGGGCAGGTTTGGGTCATCCGTGATGGGGCAGGCGTGGGCCCCCAGTGATGGGGCAGGTGTCAGTCACCTGTGATGGGGCAGGTGTGTATCACAAGTCAGGGTGCTGGGGAGAGGTGAAGTGCCAGTTGGGGGCTCTGCTCTCCCCTCCCTCCCTCTTTCTCTCTCTCCCTCTTCTCTCCCTCTTCTCTTTCTCTCCCTCTTTCTCTCCTCTCCCTCCCTCCCTTTTCTCTCCCTCCCTCCCTCTTTCTCTCCTCTCCCCTCTTTCCCTCTCTCCCTCCCTCCTTCTCTCTTTCCCTCTTCTCCCTCTCCTCTCTTTCTCTCCTCTTTCCCTCCCTCCCTTTCCCTCCCTCTTTCTCTCTCTCCTCTCCCCTTCCCTCTTTCCCTCTCCCTCCCTCCCTCTTTCCCTCTTCTCTCCCTCTCTCCTCTTTCTCTCCCTTTCTCTCCTCCCTCCCTCCCTCCCTTTCTCTCTCTCCCTCCCTCTTTCTCTCCTCTCCCCTTCCCTCTTTCTCTCCCTCTCTCCCTCCCTCCTTCTCTCTTTCCCTCTTCTCCCTCTCCTCTCTTTCTCTCCTCTTTCCCTCCCTCCCTTTCCCTCCCTCTTTCTCTCTCTCCTCTCCCCTTCCCTCTTTCCCTCTCCCTCCCTCCCTCTTTCCCTCTTCTCTCCCTCTCTCCTCTTTCTCTCCCTTTCTCTCCTCCCTCCCTCCCTCCCTTTCTCTCTCTCCCTCCCTCTTTCTCTCCTCTCCCCTTCCCTCTTTCTCTCCCTCTCTCTCTCTATTTCCCTCTTCTCTCCCTCTCCTCTCTTTCTCTCTCCCTCCTTCTCCCTCTCCCTCTTAGAAGAGGGAGAAGTTCCAGGAGGAGCCCTTGTGTGGCTCCTCCTTGTAAAAGGGGGCCCCCTGGTTCTTCTCCACCAGCTCCTCCACCATCCGGATCAGCCGCTCCACCTGGGCCTCCCGCTCGGCCCCGCCGGCCCGGTTGCTGAAGGCCAGGCAGCGGCTCCCGCACTCGCCGATGTAGCGCTTCAGCTCCTTGTCCTGGGCGGAGACGAAGCTCCGCAGCGACCCCCCTTCCAGGTCTTCCTTGTGGGTGAAGAGGAGGATGACGTAGCGCAGGGCCTCCTTCTGGAAGACGCTCTTGATGAAGCGGACGGTCTCCTTCTCCTCGACGGTGAAGGTCCCCACCTTCAGGACGTGGAGGAAGGCGTGGGGGCCGGGCGGACACAGCTCCACGCAGCTCTTCACCTTGGCGGCCGTTTCGCTATTGGAGAGTCGGGTGTCGCAAACGCCCGGCGTGTCCACCACCACGATCTTCCGGCCGTTGAGCAGCGTCTCGCCCCGCTGGCAGCTGTGGGTGATGGTCTGGAGGCTCATCTCGGACCTGAACTGTTGGCTTCCCAAGATGGTGTTTCCCGTGGCGCTTTTCCCATCTCCGGTTTTCCCCACAAGGACGATCCTGAGCTCTTGCACTAGGGCGGAGAAGAGGGGAAGGGAAGAAGAGAAGAACGAAAGAAAAAAGAAGAAAAGAATGAAAGAACGAGAGAGAAGAGAGGAGGAGAGAAGACGTGGAGGAGAGGAGAAGGGGGAGAGAAGGAGAGTGGAAGAAGAAGAGAAGTGGAGGAGGAGAGAAGACGGGCAAAGAAGGAGAGGAGAGGGGGAAGAGAGAAGGAGAGAAGACGTGGAGGAGAGGAGAAGGGGGAGACAAGGAGAGTGGAAGAAGAAGAGAAGTGGAGGAGGAGAGAAGACGGGCAAAGAAGGAGAGGAGAGGGGGAAGAGAGAAGGAGAGGGAGAGAAGAGGGGAATGAGAAGAATGGAAGGGGAAAGAGGAGGGGAGGGGAAGAAGAGAAGAATGAAAAAGAAGAAAAGAATGAGAAGAGAAAGAAAGAGAGGAGGAAGAAAAGGAGAAGAAGAAAGAGAACAAAGAGGAAAGAGAAGGGCAGAAGAACGAAAGAAGAACACAAGAGAACAAAAGAGAACAAAAGAATGGGAAGAGACGAGAAGAAAGAGAAAATCACTTCCAGTGGCATAAGGCTGTGGGTCGTCTACAGGTAATCCTCAACTTACGACCACAACTGACCCCCCCCAAAAAATTACATCACTAAGTGAGACATTCTCTAAGGGAGTTTTGCCCCCCTATGACTTTTCTCGCCACCGTTGTTAAGTGAATCCCTGCAGAATCCTGGCCGTTAAGTGAATCCACCTTCCCTCACCGCTTGTCCAAAGGTCGCAAAAAAGGGTCGCGCAATTTCGGGAGGCGGCGACTGTCACCAAGACGAGTCCAACAGCCAAATGCCCGAATTTTGACACCCCCCCCCCGGAAGAAGGCGGCGACGGTCGCCAGGCTGAAAAAGCCGTCCTCTTTCCCGTCTTTCGGCGCCGTCGTAACTTCCGACGCTCCCTCGACGAACCGTCGTACGTCGAGGATTGCCGGTACTGTACCGTTGGGGGAGCGGGGAAATTAACTGAGGCGTTTGGCTTGAACTAGGAAAAAAAAAAGTCGAAAGCCGAAGGATTTTCCCCGGCAGCTGGGAAGGGGTGCCCGGATTATCCCGCCCCTCTCCGTTTTTTCCCCGTCCTCCTTTTCCGACATTTCAAACGCCTCTCTCTCTCGTCACGCTCTCTGCGAGCGCGTGGGAACGGGAGCGTATCCCGGGCTCTGGCCCCGGGGCGTGGGCCCGGGAACGCCGGAAACGAGGAACGTTACCTTCTCCGCCTGGATGGCTACGCTTCCCAAATTCCGCCAGTCTCCCTCGCGGGAGGGGAGCCTCCTGCAGAAGGAAAGGAAGAGGGTGGTGAGGACGCAAGGAGTGACCCTCAGCCAGCTTTAGGCAACAGGCCTCGCTCTCGTGCGCAGGTGGGTGCGGCTGAAGCCGCTCGTGGTCCCGGGGCATCGTCCCGGGGGGGGGGGAGACGGGAGGACACGCCGGGGTGCCCCCCCTGGCTGGGGAAGTGGCAAAACAGTAATAGGGGGAGGGGGAGAGCTCTGAAGCTCAGAGAAGGGGGCTTTTGTGCCTTCTCCTCTCCACTCCTTGCCCTTAACCTTGCCTTGCCTCCTCTCCTTTCCTCCGCTGTCTTTCCTTTCCTCTCCTCTCCTCCCCTCCCCTCCCCTTTGCCTCCCCTTCCCTTCCCTTCTCTGCCCCTCCCTTGTCATTTGCTTCCCATCAAATCTAGATTCACTAAGGGATCCCAGGGCACCTTCACTTAAAGAGCCTGGAATTGGGGGTGAGGTGGCAGAGATTCCCAACACAGCCTCCTCCTCCTCCTCCTCCTCCTCCTCCTCTCCACTCCCAGCACTGATGACGTTCCCTAGTTGGGTCATGAAACGTCTGCAAGGAAACCACCCAGCTCAGAGAGCATCAAGGACCCCACAGTTCCTTCCTTCCTTCCTTCCTTCCTTCCTTCCTTCCTTCCTTCCTTCCTTCCTTCCTTCCTTCCTTCCTTCCTTCCTTCCTCCTCCTCCTCCTCCCTTCCCTCTTCCTTCCTTCCTTCCTTCCTTTCCTTCCTCCTCTCCCACTCCCAGCACTGATGATGTTCCCTAGTTGGGTCATGAAACGTCTGCAAGGAAACCACCCAGCTCAGAGAGCATCAAGGACCCCACAGTTCCTTCCTTCCTTCCTTCCTTCCCTCCTTCCTTCCTTCCTTCCTTCCTTCCTCCCTCCCTCCCTCCCTCCCTCCCTCCCTCCCTCCCTCCCTCCCTCCCTCCCTCCCTTCCTTCCTTCCTTCCTTCCTTCCTTCCTCCTCTCCACTCCCAGCACTGATGATGTTCCCTAGTTGGGTCATGAAACTCTGCAAAAAAACAGCCAATCTCAGAGACCACTAAGGACCTCTTTAATCCTCCTCCTCCTCCTCCTCTCCACTCCCAGCACTGATGACGTTCCCTAGTTGGGTCATGAAACGTCTGCAAGGAAACCACCCAGCTCAGAGAGCATCAAGGACCCCACAGTTCCTTCCTTCCTTCCTTCCTTCCTTCCTTCCTTCCTTCCTTCCTTCCTCCCTCCCTCCCTCCCTCCCTCCCTCCCTTCCTTCCTTCCTTCTAGCACTGATCATGTTCCCTAGTTGGGTCATGAAACGTCTGCAAGGACACCACCCAGCTCAGAGAACATCAAGGACCCCACAGTTCCTTCCTTCCTTCCTTCCTTCCTTCTTTCCTTCCTTCCTTCCTTCCTTCCTTCCTTCCTTCCTTCCTTCCTTCCTTCCTTCCTTCCTCCCTCCCTCCCTCCCTCCCTCCCTTCCTTCCTTCCTTCCTTCCTTCCTCCTCTCCACTCCCAGCACTGATGACGTTCCCTAGTTGGGTCATGAAACGTCTGCAAGGAAACCACCCAGCTCAGAGAGCATCAAGGACCCCACAGTTCCTTCCTTCCTTCCTTCCTTCCTTCCTTCCTTCCTTCCTTCCTTCCTTCCTTCCTCCCTCCCTCATCTTTCCTTCCCTTCCTTCCTTCCTCTCCTTCCTCCCTCCTTCCTTCCTTCCTTCCTTCCTTCCTCCTTCCTTCCTTCCTCCTCTCCACTCCCAGCACTGATGATGTTCCCTAGTTGGGTCATGAAACTCTGCAAAAAAACAGCCAATCTCAGAGACCACTAAGGACGTCTTTAATCCTCCTCCTCCTCCTCCTCTCCACTCCCAGCACTGATGACGTTCCCTAGTTGGGTCATGAAACGTCTGCAAGGAAACCACCCAGCTCAGAGAGCATCAAGGACCCCACAGTTCCTTCCTTCCTTCCTTCCTTCCTTCCTTCCTTCCTTCCTTCCTTCCTTCCTTCCCCTCCCTCCCTCCCTCCCTCCCTCCCTCCCTTCCTTCCTTCCTTCCTTCCTTCCTTCCTTCCTTCCTTCCTTCCTTCCTTCCTCCTCTCCACTCCCAGCACTGATGATGTTCCCTAGTTGGGTCATGAAACTCTGCAAAAAAACAGCCAATCTCAGAGACCACTAAGGACGTCTTTAATCCTCCTCCTCCTCCTCCTCTCCACTCCCAGCACTGATGACGTTCCCTAGTTGGGTCATGAAACGTCTGCAAGGAAACCACCCAGCTCAGAGAGCATCAAAGACCCCACAGTTCCTTCCTTCCTTCCTTCCTTCCTTCCTTCCTTCCTTCCTTCCTTCCTTCCTTCCTTCCTTCCTCCCTCCCTCCCTCCCTCCCTCCCTCCCTTCCTTCCTTCTAGCACTGATCATGTTCCCTAGTTGGGTCATGAAACGTCTGCAAGGACACCACCCAGCTCAGAGAACATCAAGGACCCCACAGTTCCTTCCTTCCTTCCTTCCTTCTTTCCTTCTTTCCTTCTTTCCTTCCTTCCTTCCTTCCTTCCTTCCTTCCTTCCTTCCTTCCCTCCCTCCCTCCCTCCCTCCTTCCTTCCTTCCTTCCTTCCTTCCTTCCTTCTAGCTCTGATGACGTTCCCTAGTTGGGTCATGAAACGTCTGCAAGGACACCACCCAGCTCAGAGAGCCCCCAGGACTCCACAGCTCTCCCCCTCCTCCTCCCTCCCTCCCTCCCTCTATTCCCTCCTCCTCTTTCTCCCCCTCCCCTCTTCCTCCTCCTCCTCCTCCTCCCGTTCAGCCCGACTAGGCTGAAGACGGCCTCAGCTTACCTGTTCGGGCTTCTCCGCGTGACGCATCCGGACCGTCTCACTCCATCGGCCGATCCCGATGGGGGTCACGGGGGCGCATCGGAACTGGTACTCGACGTTGAGGCGCACGTGCAGGTCTTCCCCAGCGAGGCTGGTCCACTCATCCCCGGCGACCCGGTACTCCACCTCGTACCTGGACACCGAAGCCGCCCCAAAGCTCGACGGCTGGACCGTCACCCGGACGCGGTCCGCCTGGACCGGCTCAACCTTGGGAGGGCCGAGCCGGGAGGGCAGCTCCAGCTGGCGGTCGACCAACGCGCCGTCCTCGTAGAGGTACACCGAGGCTCCCGGGTGGCTCTCGTCCCAGACCGTGGAGACCAGGAAGCGAAGATCCTCCCGTTTCTGGTGGATCTCGGCAAAGTCTGACAGGGAAGCGACGGCACAGCGGATCCCGTGCTTCCTCTCTTCGTCCTCAAACCACAGCTTGGGCATCGGCTTCTCCGAGGACGTTGCAGGGAGCGCCGCTCCCCCGCTTTCCTCGACGTACGGCCTTCGGAGCCAAGCTCGCAATTCCTCCAAGGCGGGCTCCCCCCGGTGTAAGGAGGTGAACATAAAGGCCACCACGAACCTGTGTCGGCAACCTAGCAATACTTCGTCGAGCCGGTTCGGCGCCGAGACGACGTCCAGCCCTTTGAGGCGGGACAGGCACAGCGACATGAAGTCCGTCTCCCGCTTCTTCCGGTCCAGCAGCTCCTTCAGGGCCTGCTGGTGGAAGGGGCTCCAGATGACCCGGGCCGACACGTCCCCCAGGATCGCCGCCTCGTCCTTCCCGCCGCGGACGTCGAGCAGCGCCTTCCCGACCTCCCGCCGGAACACCTGACGGTGTTGCCCGCAGAGGAGGCGCAGCTGCTCCAGTTGCTCCTTCATCTCCGGGAAGAGGGCAGCCACGGGGGACTGGATCAACTGGCGCCAACCGAGATCGGCGTCGAGCAGCGACTGGAAGTGACCCTGCACCTCGCCGAGCCAGCAACCCCAGGGGTGATCCCGCATGATACGAGCCGCTTTGGGGTCCAGCTTCACCAGCGGGTACAACCAGACGGTCACCGGCACGGCCTTCCCGCCTTCTCCGACCATTCGGGGGAAACGGGCGTAGCTGTCCAGGGCCTCCCGAAAAGGAGTCGGGCTCTCCAGCGGGATGTCGCTGTACGACGTGCAGCGGACCTTCCCTTCCATTCCTCTCGGCGCGTCGCTCCCTCGGAAGGGGGCTCGCCCTCCCGCGGCCACCTTTGGGATCGCCTCGACCGCCTGCCGGAGATGCTGCTGGACGTCCCGGAAGTCTTCGGATTCGGAGACGTCACAGTCGAAGACAAAGAAGGCCCGGGCCCCGTAGAGGACGGCCGTGACCACGTGGGTGGCGGACCCCTCCTCAAAGGCTTCCCGGAAGGAGACCCTCTCCCCGGTCAGCAGAGCCGTCGGCAGGTGCCGCCGCTCCGTGGTGGTCAAGAGGTGGAGGGTCCCGCGGGCCTGGCTCGCGGTGGGCGGGCTCTCCTCCAGGTAGGCGGCAGCTCCCGCCACTTCAAAAAGCCCGGCGAGGAAGCTGGCCTGGAGGGACCCGCTCAGGCCGAGGGCCTCGGCTTTGCTCTGCAGAGACTCCGACGGGAGCACCTGAACCTCCGTCCCGGGTTGGGCCTCGGCTCGGACCTCCGTTTGCAGGACGTCGGCATCCCACAGAGTCACATCTGCGTGACAAGAGAATGAAAGGGGCCGTTCACAATGGACTTTGAGGGTTTGTTCACGGGAAAGAACATTGTTGCATAGGAAACTATTTCTATATTCTGTTCTGTTCTTTTCTCTTCTGTTCTGTTCTATTCTATTCTATTCTATTCTTATTCTATTCTATTTTTTCTTATTTATTTCTTATTCTATTCTGTTCTATTTATTCTAATCTATTCTATATTCTATTCTATTCTATCCTATCCTATCCTATTCCTTAATTCTATTCTATTCTATTCACTCTGCTGTTCTGTAAGAGTCTCCTGCTTGAGTAGGGGGTTGGACTAGATGACCTCTGAGGTCCTTCCAACTATTCTATTCTATTCTATTCTATTCTATTCTGTATTCTAATTCTAATTCTAGGAAACTATTTCCATATTCTCTTCTGTTCTGTTCTTTTCTATATTCTCTTCTCTTCTCTTCTCTTCTATTCTATTATTTCTTATTCTATTCTATTTGTTCTTATTTATTTCTTATTCTATTCTATTCTATTTATTTTAATCTATTCTATATCCTATCCTATCCTATGCTATCCCATCCTATTCCTTAATTCTACTCTACTCTACTCTATTCTATTTGTTTCTATTTGGTTCTATCCTATTCCTTAATTCTATTCTATTCTATTCACTCTGCTGTTCTATAAGAGTCTCCTGCTTGGACCTGGGGGTTGGACTAGATGACCTCTGAGGTCCCTTCTAACTATTCTATTCTATTCTCTATTCTAATTCTAATTATACGAAACTATTTCCATATTCTATTCTGTTCTGTTCTATATTCTATTCTGTTCTATTCTATTCTATTCTATTCTATTATTTCTTATTCTATTCTAATCTATTCTATTCTATTATTTCTTATTCTATTCTTATTTCTTATTTCATATTCTGTTCTATTCTATTTGTTCTTATTTATTTCTTATTCTATTTTATTCTATTCTAATCTATTCTATATTCTATTCTTTCTTCTATTCTATTCTATTCTACATTCTCTATTCTATTCTGTTTTATTCTATTCTATATTCTATTCTTTCTGCTATTCTATTCTATTCTATTCTATTCTATTCTATTCTACGATTCTATTCTATATTCTCTATTCTATTCTGTTTCTATTCTATTCTATATTCTATTCTTTCTGCTATTCTATTCTATTCTATTCTATTCTATTCTATATTCTCTATTCTATTCTGTTTTATTCTATTCTATATTCTATTCTTTCTGCTATTCTATTCTATTCTATTCTATATTCTATTCTTTCTGCTATTCTATTCTATTCTATTCTATTCTATTCTATTCTATTCTATTCTATTCTATTCTGTTTCTATTCTATTCTTTATTCTATTCTTTCTGCTATTCTATTCTATTCTATTCTATTCTATTCTATTCTGTTCTGTTCTGTTCTGTTCTGTTCTATTCTATTCTATTCTATTCTATTCCCTATCCTATTCTATTCCATATTCCATTCCATTCATCCCATCAATTCTAATTCTAATCATTCTAATTCTATCCCACCCTCTTTCTATTATCTCTATTTTTATTCCAACCATGCAGAAGGCCAAGCGGGCGAGCGGGACCCCTTCCATTTCAGACCCTGAGTAACCGTCGCCCGTCTCTGACCCGGAGGAACGCTGAGGCAGGAGTTCCCCTTCCCCCCAACTGTCCGGGAGCGCCGCGGGAGCCCAGCCACCGGCTCCCGCAGCCCCAGACCAACGGCAGAAGCCGGGGTGAGTGGGTGGGTGGGGAAAGAGACTTACCCGGAATCAGGGCATCTGTGCGACAGTCATACAGCGTTCCCAGCCGGAAGGGGCGGCCCAAGGCCGGCATCTCCAGGGACCCTTCCATGCTTGGGCTTCCAGCCTCACTTCCAACCGGGGGGGGGGGGGGAAGATGCAGGGAGCGAAGCTTCCAGAAGGGAGAACCGGAAAACTCTATTCTGTCCGGGTGTAGGAGATCCGCCAGCTGAGCTGGGAGGTGGGGTGAAGCGTGTCATTAGTTTGGAATCCTGGCACGGATGTAAATCTAAATCTAGTCGGGTCTTGTCAATTCCACGGACTCGTACCTAGCCCCCCGCTTGTTAGGCTTGGCAACTTTTAAGACTTGGGGACTTCAACTCCCAGAATCCCTCAGCCCCGGCCGGCTGAGGAATTCTGGGAGTTGAAGTCCACGAGTCTTTTTGATTTATTTTTTTAATTTTATTATTTTTTAACAGAATTCAATAATAATCCTTCAACAAAAACGTGTTGTCGCAGTGTCTTAATCACTAATACAACACGTGGCAACTTTAAGACTTGGGGACTTCCCAGAATCCCTCAGCCCCAGCCGGCTGCCTGAGGAATTCTGGGAGTGGAAGTCCACGAGTCTTTTATATATATTTTTTTAAAAAAAATTATTATTATTTTTAACAGAATTCAATAATAATCGTTCAACAAAAACCTGTTGTCGGAGTGTCTTATTCACTAATACAAAACTTGGAAACTTTAAGACTTGGGATGCTTTAAGACGGGGTTCTTTAAATTGGGCCCTATCGGGACTGGTGGACTTCAACTCCCAGAATCCTTCAGCCGGGATGCTCTAAGATGGGGGGGGGCTTCCAATTGGCCCTTTGGCGACTGGTGGACTTCAACTCCCAGAATCCCTCAGCCGGGATGCTTCAAGACGGGGGGGGGGGCTTCCAATTGGGCCCTTTGGCGACTGGTGGACTTCAACTCCCAGAATCCCTCAGCCGGGATGCTCTAAGACTGGGGTCTTCCGACTGGGCCCTTTGGCGACTGGTGGACTTCAACTCCCAGAATCCCTCAGCCGGGATGCTTCAAGACGGGGGGGGGCTTCCAATTGGGCCCTTTGGCGACTGGTGGACTTCAATTCCCAGAATCCCTCAGCCGGGATGCTCTAAGACTGGGGTCTTCCGACTGGGCCCTTTGGCGACTGGTGGACTTCAACTCCCAGAATCCCTCAGCCGGGATGCTTCAAGACGGGGGGGGGGGCTTCCAATTGGGCCCTTTGGCGACTGGTGGACTTCAACTCCCAGAATCCCTCAGCCGGGATGCTCTAAGACTGGGGTCTTCCGACTGGGCCCTTTGGCGACTGGTGGACTTCAACTCCCAGAATCCCTCAGCCGGGATGCTTCAAGACGGGGGGGGCTTCCAATTGGGCCCGTTGGCGACTGGTGGACTTCAACTCCCAGAATCCCTCAGCCGGGATGCTCTAAGAATGGTCTTCCGACTGGCGACGGTGGACTTCAACTCCCAGAATCCTCAGCCGGATGCTTCAAGACGGGGCTTCCAATTGGGCCCTTTGGCGACTGGTGGACTTCAATTCCCAGAATCCCTCAGCCGGGATGCTCTAAGACTGGGGTCTTCCGACTGGGCCCTTTGGCGACTGGTGGACTTCAACTCCCAGAATCCCTCAGCCGGGATGCTTCAAGACGGGGGGGGGGCTTCCAATTGGGCCCTTTGGCGACTGGTGGACTTCAACTCCCAGAATCCCTCAGACAGGATGCTTTAAGATAGGGGTCTTCCGACTGGGCCCTTTGTTGACTGGTGGACTTCAACTCCCAGAATTCCTCGGCCAGCATGCCTGGCTGAGGGATTCTGGGAGTTGAAGTCCACAAGCCATCAAAGGGCCCAGTTGGAAGACCCCTGTTTTAAACCATAGTTAGCAGCAGAGGACGGGGGGGAGGCACGGATGAAGCCAGCTTGTCAGAGCGATGCGGAGCACCGGGAGGGACTTCCAGGACCACCCCCCCAAAGGCTGGGGCCCTTAGAAGAGGAACTGGAAAGGGTCCTCGGAGGTCATCTAGTCCCACCTCCTGCTCCAGCAGGAGACCCTTACAGAATCATAGAATGACAAGAGTTTTGGAAGGGACCCTGGAGGTCCTCTACTCCAGCCCCTTGCTCCAGCAGGAGACCCTTACAGAATAATGGAACGACAAGAGTTTTGGAAGGGACCCTGGAGGTCATCTGGTCCAACCCCCTGCTGGAGCAGGAGACCCTTACCGACCCTTACCCCGCCCCCTCCTCCCGGGACCGCCTCGCAGCTCGTCCCCCCTCCCCGCAGCTTGGGGGGGGGCTTCTCACGTGCCGCCAAGACCCGTGTCTACCCATCCGGACGCCCCCCCCCTTCCCGCGCGCGGAGATCCCTTTGGCCCCGCGGAGCTTCCCCCCTCCCCGGCGGCGGGGTGAGGCACAGCACCTAGGGCAGACTGCTAGGGCCGGATGGGAGCTCCGAGGTCATCTAGTCCAACCCGCCCTGCTCAACACAAGACGGACGCTATGGAGGGGGGGGGGACTCTTCTCTCCGCCTTTTGTCGCTGTCTTTGCTTCCCCCCAGTTGGGGGGGGAAGGGAGGGGGAGGAATGGGGAGGAGGGGGGGAAAGGGGAGGGGGTCCTCCCTCCCCCCCCCTCCTCCTCCCGCTGCCCGGACTTACCTGCCCGCGGTTCTTTCCAGGGAGGGGTCGGCAGCGACTGCACTTCGGCCCCGGCTGGCCGGCCGAATAACGCAGCTGGGAGGGACCTCGGAGGTCTTCTAGTCCGACCCCCCCCGCCCTTGTAAGGGCGATCTCCGCAGGCGGGGCCCCAAATGCGACCCCCCCACACACACCTCCCCAAGCAGGACCAAAAGACTTTCTGGGTGGGGAATCCGCCGCCCCTCCCTCCCTTTGGACGAAGGAAGCGCTGGAAAAAAGGAAGGGCGCCCCTATCGGCCCCTAAGAGACAGGGGGAAAAAACCAGCCCCCTTATGGGCAGCCACTCCCCCCTCCCTTTTTCCTGCGAGGGAGGGAGGGGGGGCTGAGAGTCATTTCGGGCCCGTTTTCCCCCTCAATCACGTGATTTCCAAGCAGCGGCGGCGCCCGGAGACTTTCGCTTTCCTTCGCTTTCACTTTCCATTTCCGGCCATTCAGGAGAAGCGGCGGCTGGCTCCAGGCCTGGGAGACGGGGAATTGGGGGAGGGGGGGGCGGGGAGCCCCTCCCGCCCCCACTAAAGCAGGAGACCCCTTAGAGAGTCGCACCATGGACAGAGTGGGAAGGGACCTCAGAGGCCATCTAGTCCAACCCCCAGCTCCATCAGGAGATCCTCACAGTTCCAGAGTTGGAAGGGACCGCGGGGGTCATCTAGTCCAACCCTCCTGCTCGAGCAGGAGACCCTTAGAGAAGGACAGAGTGGGAAGGGACCTCAGAGGCCATCTAGTCCAACCCCCAGCTCCATCAGGAGATCCTTACAGTTCCAGAGTTGGAAGGGATCGCGGGGGTCATCTAGTCCAACCCTCCTGCTCGAGCAGGAGACCCTTAGAGAAGGACAGAGTGGGAAGGGACCTCGGAGGTCATCTAGTCCAACCCCCTGCTCGAGCAGCAGACCCTACACAGCACGATAGTTGGAAGAGACCTCGGAGGTCATCTAGTCCTATTCAAGCAGCAGACCCTACACAGCATGATAGAGCTTGGAAGGTATCCAGGAGGTCATCTAGTCCAACCCCCTACTCAAGCAGGAGATCCTTACAGAATCATAGGACACAGTTGGAAGGGACTTCAGAGGTCATCTAGTCCAACCCCCTGCTCGAACAAGAGACCCTTAGAGAATCATAGAATGAAAGAGCTGGAAGGGACCTCGGAGGTTATCTAGTCCAACCCCCTGCTCAAGCAGGAGATCCTGCGCAGCATGATAGAATTGGAAGGGACCTTGGAGGTCATCTAGTCCAACCCCCTGCTCAAACAGGAGACCCTGACAGAATCATAGAATGAAAGAGCTGGAAGGGATCCCGGAGGTCATCTAGTCCAACCCCCTGCTCGAGCAGGACACCCTTACAGAATCAGAGTTGGGAGGGACCTCGGAGGTCATCTAGTCCAACCCCCTGCTCAAGCAGGAGACCCTACGCAGCATGATAGAGTTGGAAGAGACCTCGGAGGTCATCTAGTCCCACTGAAGCAGCAGATCCTACACAGCACAATAGAGCTTGGAAGGGACCTCGGAGGTCATCTAGTCCAACCCCTGCTCCAGCAGGAGACCCTACACAGGATCGTAGAGTGACAGAGCTGGAAGGGACCTCAAAGGTCATCTAGTCCAACCCCCCCAGGCAGGAAACCTTATAAGGGCGATCTCCGCAGGCGGACAACAAATGCGCCCCCTCTCCCCAAGCAGGACCAACAGACCTTCTGGGCGGAACCCGCCCCCCTCCCCACTTTGGACAAAGGAAGCGCTGGGGGGGGGAGGGGCCATCTTGGAAAAATGGTGGGGGTGGGAAGGACGCCCATAACATCCCATAAGAGACCGGAAATAAACAGCCTCCTTATGGGAAGCGACTCCACCTTTTCCTGAGGGGGGGGCGCTGAGAGTCATTTTCCCCTCAATCACGTGGTTTCCAAGCAGCAGCGCCGCCCGGAGACTTTCGCTTTCCTTCGCTTTCACTTTCGGCTGGCTCAAGGCCTGGGAGACGGGGACTTGGGGGGGCAACGACCTCCTCCCGCCCCCACTTAAGCAGGAGACCCTTATAGAGTCGCACAATAAGAGAGTTGGAAGGGACCTTGGAGGTCATCTAGTCCAACCCCCTGCTCAAACAGGAGACCCTACGCAGCATGAGAGAGTTGGAAGGGACCTTGGAGGTCATCTAGTCCAATCCCCTGCTCAAACAGGAGACCCTGAATCATAGAATGAAAGAGCTGGAAGGGACCTCGGAGGTCATCTAGTCCAACCCCCTGCTCAAGCAGGAGACCCTACGCAGCAGGATAGAGTTGGAAGAGACCTTGGAGGTCATCTAGTCCAACCCCCTGCTCAAAGAGGAGACCCTGACAGAATCATAGAATGAAAGAGCTGGAAGGGACCACGGAGGTCATCTAGTCCAACCCCCTGCTGAAGCAGGAGACCCTTAGAGAATCATAGAGTGGGAAGGGACCTCGGAGGTCATCTAGTCTAATCCCCATTTCAGGCAAGTGATTGTCCAGTCTCTTCTTACTGGGCCAGTAGAGTCTGTGCCTTCTCCTTACAAAGCGTGTAAACCCAGTGAACGATATGCCTAAATGGTGTCATGACAGGGAAAACCACTCCGCAAAATGTAGATGAAAAAATTTAAGGTAAATCTGAATTTTGATCTGTATGGCAGTTCTTAGTGGGAACGGAAGGCCTCATCCGGTTGGGGATAAAATGGATCCCCTCCGAGGAACAATCTGAAGCAATTCCGTAGGGTTCTCCTGCTTGAGCAGGGGGTTGGACTAGATGATCTCCGAGGTCCCTTTCAACTCCCTCATTCTATAATTCTGTAAGGGTCTCCTGCTTGAGCTGGCGGCTTGACTAGATGATCTCCAAGGTCCCTTCCAACTGTGTGATTCTGCAATTCTGTGTGGGTCTCCTGCCTGAGCAGGGGGTTGGACTAACTGACCTCTGAGGTCCCTTCCCACTCTGTGATTCTGAAATTCTGTATGGATCTCCTGCCTGAGTAGCGGGTTGGACTAGATCAGTGGTTCTCAACCTTTTTATACGGCGATCCTGGTCATAAGGATGCGCCGCCCCCATGCACAGCGCCGCCCCAAGGGAAAAAAATGGCGGATCGCGTTGTTTGGCGACCCCCGTAAAATGGTTGTTCGACCCCAAATGGGGTCACGACCCAAGGTTGAGAACCACTGCACTAGATGATCTCCGAGGTCCCTCTCAACTGTGATTCTGCAATTCTTTAAGAATCTCCTCCTTGAGCAGGGGGTTGGACTAGATGACCTCCGAGATCCCTTCCAACTGTGTGATTCTTCAATTCTGCGTGGGTCTCCTGCTCGAGCAGGTGGTTGGACTGGATGACCTCTCAGGTCCCTTCCAGCTCTGTCATTCCACAAGGATCTCCTGCCTAAGCAGGGGGTTGGACTAGATGACCTCTGAGGTTCCTTCCCACTCTGTGATTCTGCAATTCTGCGTGGGTCTCCTGCTTAAGCAGGTGGTTGGACTGGATGACCTCCCAGGTCCCTTCCAGCTCTGTCATTCCACAAGGATGTCCTGCTCGAGCAGGGGGTTGGACTATGTTAGAGAATTTTAATTTCTCTAATTGGTGAAAAATAAATCAGAAGCTCTTACAGTTGACTGCATTTAGCTGATCCAAATAGCTTTATATTTATATAAAAATGTTTACAATACCATTCTTCTTTACAGCAACATAGCTTAATTGAAGACTTCTTACAGAGACAGACCACAGACAAAACTTTTGAGATTGGAAATCCAGCTCCTAACTCAATACTCCTTTTTTGCACAGACTCAGTAGCACTTTCCTCACATTGGCTGACTGAGTTACCACATGACTCTTCCTGTTCATGAATATTCCAACAGACTAGATGACCTCTGAGGTCCCTCCCAACTCTGTTATCATATGATTCTGCAAAGGTCTCCTACTTGAGTTGGAGTTGGACTAGATGACCTCCGAGGTCCCTTCCCACTCTATGATTCTGTAAGGGTCTCCTGCTTCAGCAGGGGGTTGGGCTGGATGACCTCCCAGGTCCCTCCCAACGTTGTTATCCTATGATTCTGTCAGGATCTCCTGCTGGAGTTGGGATTGGACTAGATGACCTCTGAGGTACCTTCCAACTTTGTTATCCCATGATTCTGTGAGGGACTCCTCCTTGAGCAGGGGGTTGGACTAGATGACCTCCGAGGTCCCTTTCAACTCCCTCCTTCTATAATTCCGTAAGGGTCTCCTGCTCGAGCTGGCAGCTCGACTAGATGATCTCCAAGGTCCCTTCCGACTGTGTCCTTCTGCAATTCTGCATGGCTCTCCTGCCTGAGCAGGGGGGGTCAGACTAGATGACCTCCGAGGCCCCTTCCCACTCTGTGATTCTGTAAATCTGCCAGGGTCTCCTGCCTGAACAGGGGGTCGGACGAGATGACCTCCGAGGTCCCTTCCCACTCCCTCATTCTATCATTCTGGAAGGGTCTGCTGCTCGAGCAGGGGGCTGGACTGGATGACCTCTGAGGTCCCTTGCCGCTCTTCTTCTTCTGATCGACCTCCCCTCCCCGCTTGGCTCTCTGGGGCCGACCCTGGCTGGTGGCCCAGACGGGTGGGGCGGGGGAGAGCTGGAGGGAGGACGAGACCCGCCCTTCTTTCCTTCCGGTCGCCCCCTGCTCTTTTTAGCGGCCGTCCCAAAGCGAAACCGAAGGGGCGGAGGAGCAGGTAGGCAGAGCGCGTCGTCCTTTCTTCTGCCCGGATCCCCTCCCGACTCAGGTGGGTCCCCAAGTCGGCTGCTTCTCCTGGCCGGGGGTCGCCAGCGGGGGGGGGCAGGTCCCTCCTTCCCCTCCCATCTAGGGGGGCGTCGGGGGGGGTCAGGGAAATTGGGGAGGGGGGAGGAAAGGCTGGTGGGAGGAGTCCTCCTTCCAGGCTGGGCAGCGGGGGGGGGACGTCTGTAGCTTTGGGGGGGGCTCCTTTTCTTTCCTTGTGGGAAGGGTCCCCCTTGGAGAGAGAAGAGGGGGGGAGGGGGGTTTCCTCTGCCCGGGGTCCTCCTGAGGTCCAGCTCCTTTTCCAAAGTTATGGGTTAGTCTTCCAGTCCGCTCCTCCGTTTGACAACAGAAGAAACCAAGTGAATATAAATCTCCCTGGGCCCCCAAGTGGTTCAACTCCCCCCCAAAAGGACACTCTTATTATTATTATTATTATTGTTGTTGTTGTTGTTGTTTTGTTGCTGTTGCTGTTGCTATTTCATTGTTTTTGTTTTTATTTTTATTGTTTTGTTTTTCTTTTATTGTTGTCGTTATTGTTATTATTTTTGTTTGGTTGTTTGTTTCGTTGTTCTTCTTATTATTATTATTACTATTATGACCATCATTTTGTATAGAGAAAAAGATCTGAGTCCACAACATCCTCAATTTCAACCGTGTGAATTCTCAAGCTTCCTCTTACCAATGTGTATTATGCATGCTAATTAATTAATAATAATATTTAAAGGAATGATTGTAATTATTTCATCTGGTATGACATGTGTGAGTTCTGGCACCCTTTTTTAATACAAAAAAAAAGGATAGATAGATAGATAGATAGATAGATAGATAGATAGATAGATAGATAGATAGATAGATAGATAGATAGACAGACAGATAGATATAGATGGATGGATGGATGACAGGATAGATAGATAGATAGATAGATAGATAGATAGATAGATAGATAGATAGATAGATAGATAGATGGATGATAGGATAGATAGATAGACAGATAAATATATATATAGATAGACAGAAATAGATAAATATATAGAGATATAGATAGATATGATAGATACAGACAGAGAAATAGATAGACAGATGATAGAAATAGATAGAGATAGATAGAGATAGATAGCTAGAGATAGATATGTAGATATAGATAGAGATAGACAGAAATAGAGATGATAGAAATAGGTGATAGAAATAGATATAGATAGATGATAGATAGAGATAAATTGATAGAGATAGATAGAGATAGATAGACAGAAATAGAGATAAAAATATAGAAATATAGATAGATGATAGTTTGAAATAGATAGATATGATAGAGATAGACTAAAGAAATAGTAAGATAAACAGATGATATAAATAGATAGAGAGAGATAGATAGATAGATAGATAGATAGATAGATAGATAGATAGTCGTAAGTTATAGGCTGCCCTTTTTCCATTTGAATCCCCTCCATTAACCTAATTAACAATAGAAACAGAATGGATATAAATAGAACGTAAAGAGATTATTTACATAAATGTGCCTGGACCCCAAATGGTTGAACTTCCCCCCCTCCAAAGAAAACCCTATTTTTTTTTTTTTTTTTAATAGAGAGGGGAAAAAAAAATCCGCCTGACTTCCCAGCCCATAATATCCTCATTTCATGGCTCCCCCGGGATTTCCTAAACTGCTCCGCCCTGAGAGAGCGGAGCTGAAACGCCACAGGGCAAAAGTGGAGAAGTGGCTGGGGTTTTTTGGTGTGTGTGTGTGTGTGTGTGTGTGTGTGTGTGTGTGTGTGTGTGTGTGAAGAGATCCAGGAGGCCCAAGGACCCCCCCAGCAATCTGGAACCCCCCCATTTTTAAGCCCTGCCACTGCAGCCGTTAGCTCAGCCTGGCCTTATCTTCCCTAAACGGACTGAAAATGAGGATCGTTTTTGAAGACAGGCGGGAGTTCCACATTTCGGTCGCTCAATGGGTGTTGTCCCGTGCTAATGACCATTCTTGCCCCTGTTGTTCAGTGAATCCCTACAGTCGTTAAGTCAGTCAGCCGGTTGGGAAGTGAATCGGGCTGTCCCCGTCGACTTCGCTTGTCCAAAGTTCGCAAAAGGGGATCGCGGCGTGCCTCGGACACAACAGGAATCATAAAGACGAGCCGGTGGCCAAACACTTGAATTTTAGTCACCGGGCCCCGGGGCATGCGGCAACAGTCGTAAGCGTGAGTCGAGTTTTTTTCCAGCGCAGTCGTAAGACACCTGGCAATGGCTTCGTATTTGTGACCGTGGCCGTGGCTCCTTTTGCGGCCTTCCGCCGAGCCACGTCAACGGGGAAAATCCGGATTCGCTTCACAAGCGGGTGACCAACGGCGATCCACTTAAGAGCTACAGCAAGGAAGGCGGTAAAATGGGGCCCAACATACTTAAGCGACGCCTCGCTTAATGACAGAACTATAGAACGCCGCGGTGGTTGTAACTCAAGGACTGCCTGTATTTAGGTTTGCCAACGGGCGGTCTTTGGCCTCACCTCTCCTCCCCTTTCTTTCTTCTCTGCTCTTTCTCCCGTGCTGCTGCACCTTCCCTTGCTTCCAAAAGATGCACTCACTCGCTCACTCTTGAAGCACTCACTCCCTTCTCGCTTTGCTCTTTCCTTCAGAGACCCTGAAGATCGGCGGAAGAGACTCCAGCTGCTGGCAAGATGGGTGCGGCTGAATCAGGTGAATCTCGGTTAGGAGAAGGGTGGGAGGTGCTGTCTTCTGACGCTGCCCTTCGGGAGGGGGGTCTCGGCTGCAGCCTGCTACCGGTCCGTGGCCGATTCACAACCGGGCCCCGTGAGTGACTGACTGGTGCGCGCGTGTGTGCTCGCGGGCATAGCCCCACTCACGCGAACGTCGCGTGGGTATTTGGGGCCTCACTCACACAAGTGTTGCGAGTGTTCTGGGCCTCACTCGTATGTCACACTCTTGTGCGAGTAACCAAGCCCTTGAGTGGCTGGCTGGTTCGTGCGTGTGTATGCAGGCACACAGCTCTACTCATGTGAGGCTCGCAGGCGCTAAGGGACTCACTCGCGCGAGTCTCGCAGGCGCCAAGTGCCTCACTCCCACGAATCTTACAGGCACTAAGGGCCTCACTTGCGTGAGCCTCACAGGCACTCTCGGCCCCAGTAAACAACTGGGCCCTTGAGAGGCTGGCTGGTGCGCATGTGTGTGTGTGCGTGTGTGTGTGTGCACATCCCCACTCGTGAGCATCGCGGGCGTTCAGGGCCTCAAATTGCGCAAGCGTTGCAGGCGTTTGGGGCCAAAGACAGAAACGTGTGGTACCAACACTGCTTACTTCCCTCCAAGTGGACATAGCACCCTTAAGGAGGACTCGTTTTGAGTACGGCTTCGTCAGCCCGCTACAAATCCGTCGGGTGGCGATGCTGCGTGTCCCACATTTTTTTTCTAGCTTACCAAGAAGTAGGTTGTGGTCTACTCTCCTGAACGCCTTGCTGAAACCCAGGTATGTGTATCCACAGCATTTCTCTGATCCGCTAATTTTTTTCACCTCATCAAAGAAGGCACAAAAGTGTGTCTGTTTTGCACAAAGCCATGTTGGCTTTTGGTTATGACCTTGTTTACCTCTAGGTATTTGTCAGATCATCGTTGCTTGATTATTTTTTCCAGAATCTTCCCAGGGAATGCTGTATGGCTGATAGGTGCCGTTTTTGAGAGGTGGGATTATTTATTCTCGCATATGCCTAATCTGTTTTTTACGGTGCCGTTTTTGAGACGCAGGGCTGTTTATTCTTGTGTATTTTGACTCGTATTCCGAATCTGTTTTTTACGGTGCAGTTCTTCAGAGGCGGACCTGTATATTCTCGTGTATTTTGACTCGTATTCCGAATCTGTTTTTTACGGTGCAGTTCTTGAGAGGCGGGCCTGTATATTCTCACGTATTTTGACTCGTATTCCTAATCTGTTTTTTTACGGTGCAGTTGTTGAGAGGCAGGACTGTTTCTTCTCGCCTATTTTGACTCGAGCGAAGCAGCTGTGCTTTCTCCCTGTTGCGTGTCGCCTTCTTTTTGCCGTTTTCTCCCCTCAGTTCTCTCCCGTGCGCGCGACGGGACGCCACTGACCGTTTTCTCCCTCTCTTCCCCCTTCCAATTCCAGACCTGAGGATCGTCCTGGTCGGCAAAACGGGCAACGGGAAAAGTGCCACCGGCAACACCATTTTAGGGAAGAAAGCCTTCAAGTCCATGATGGCGGCCAGGTCCGTCACTGCCAGATGTAAAATGATCAAGGGGAAACTCCCGGATGGAAGGACTCTGGCTGTGATCGACACGCCGGGCTTTTTCGATACGAAATATCCGACGCCGGTGATCGTTGCGGAAGTGAAAAGATGCTTGACCTTCTGCTCCCCGGGTCCCCACGTCATCATCCAGGTCATCCGTCTGGGCCATTTCAGCCAGGAGGAGAAGGAGGTGGCTAAACTTCTCAAAGACATCTTCAGCCTCAAAGCTAAGAGTTACATGATCATCTTATTCACCCGGAAGGAGGACCTGGAGGGGCGCTCTCTTCACGAAATGCTGTCCGGGGACGACGAGAGCTTGCAGGAGCTGAGGGATCAGATTCAGAGTTGTGGGAACCGGTGCCTGGCCTTCAACAACAAGGCGGTGGGGCGGGAATGGAAGGATCAGATCGACGAGCTAATCCGGATGGTGGACGAGCTCGTGCGCCAGAACGAATCCAGCCCCTTTTACACCAAGGAGATGTTGGAGGAGGACAAAAAAAACGCCCCCGAATGGCTGTGCAACATCCTGTGATCCCGGAGCTCCGGATGGATACGCCCTTCTGGCATGTCTGGACCGGAGAAGGTGGCCCTGGATCCCTTGGGCTGCGCCATTATCCCAAAGGCGCGGTTTTCTCGTCTTCCCCAAAAGGCCACTGGACTTCGTTTTTCCCCTGAAGACACTTCGCTTCACGGCCCAGAAGCTTCCTTGGTTCTGACGGGTCTTTGGTTACGACCAAAGAAGCTTCTTGGGTGGAGAAGCGTAATGTCTTCCGAGGAAAAACACCGAGAAAGTCGATTGGCCTTTTGGAAAAGCACCTTTGGGATAGCCCTGGCTTGGATGACTGAGAATCTCCATAGATTCTGTCAGAATAGAACGAGAAGGGACCTCGGAGGTCATCTAGTCCACTCTCCTGCTCGAGCAGGAGGCCCCATACAATTTGAGACTTTTGTTTTTAATAGAGAGGGGAGTGGCTGTCCAGTCTCTTCTGAAAAACCTCCAGTGACGGAGCGCCCGCAGCTTCCGGTGGCAAGCAGTTCCACTGGTGAATTGTCCTCACAGTTAGCAACTTTCTCCTTAGTTCCGGGTGGCTTCTCTCCTTGATTTAGTTTCCATCCGTTGCTTCTTGTCCTGCCTTCAGGCGCTTTGGAGAAGAGCTTGACTGCCTCTTCTTTGGGGCAGCCCCTCTTTGCTATTACCGATTTCCTTAGCTTCGCATAACTGTAACTTTGCTCTTTGTATCTCATGATTATGTCGATTGCTTTTTATTTAGTATCCTATTATGATTTATGTCGCTTGTTTTTTATTTAGTATCCTATTACGATTTATGTCGCTTGCTTTTCATTTAGTATCCTATTATGATTTATGTCGCTTGCTTTTTATTTAGTATCCTATTGTGATTTATGTCGCTTGCTTTTCATTTAGTATCCTATTGTGATTTATGTTGATAGCTTATTTCGTACCCTATGGCTATCACTAAGCGTTGTATCTTATGATTTAGGATGATCGCGTTTTATGATTTACGATCACGATTTACCACTTCTTACTTGTACGCACAGTGAGAGCTTAAGCTCCGGAGACAAATTCCTTATATGTCCAATCACACGAGGCCAATAAAGAATTTTATTATTTCTATTTCCATTTATTTCTATTTCCATTTATTTCTATTTGTATTGATTTCTATTTGTATTATTTCTATTTCTATTTATTTCTATTTGTATTTCTGTTTATTTCTATTTCTATTATTTCTGTTTCTATTTATTTCTATTTCTAATATTAATATTGCTATTTATTTTTATTTATTTCTATTTCTTTTTTATTTATTTGTATATCTATTTATTACTATTTCTATTATTTCTAGTCTATTTCTATTTTTATTTCTGTTATTTCTATATTTCTATTTCTTTTTCTATTTCTATTTCTTTCTATTTCTATTATGTCTATTTGTATTATTTCTATTTCTATTTATTTCTATTTGTATTTCTATTATTTCTATTTCTATTATTTGTATTTCTATTTATTTATATTGCTCTTCTATTTCTATTTATTTTTATTATTTCTATTTCTATTTATTTCTATTTCTATTTATTTCTATTTCTATTTATTTCTATTTCTATTATTTCTATTTTTCTATTTCTATTTATTTCTATTATTTCTATTTCTATTATTTCTATTTCTATTTATTTCTATTTCTATTTATTTCCATTTCTATTTCTTCCGCCCTATTCCAGGGCTGGATTGTGGGCAGGTGTCCAGTTCTCGCTGGGAAATCAAACATTCGGAACCGAGGGATATTTGGACCTTCAGCCCCGCAGGTTCTGAGGGGGTCCCCCCTACCCACATACCCCACCCCACCCCACCCTACCACAATGCACTCGTAAGGCAAATGACTTTTACAAACTTGGTGGAAATTTGCACAGGCGAAACCGTGGGGGGGGGGGAAACCCTACACAAAGGGCTCAGCAAATCGTTTGCAAAAGGCCTCCCCCCCCCCGGAAGGCACGAATTCAGCAGGACGTTTTCATGCCCTGGGTCCCGTTGCTGCTGAAGACGGGCACAGGCCACTGGTGGGGTGAGTCCGTGCGGTCTGCACGTTGCGATTCCTCGCCATCCAGTGGACCCGGTAGCTGAGTCCGAGGAATCAGAAGAGGAGGAGGAGGAGGGGCCTGACGTGATGTCCGAGTCAAGAGGAAGGGTCTGAGGAGCTCCAAGACTTAACAGTCGGACGAGGAGCCTGGCCCCTCTACTCGCACGCAGGCTGAGATGCAGCCTGAGTTGGACAGTGATGAAGAACAGCTGGGACAAATCTCGGATGCACGAATGCGCCGGCAAGCAAAACAAGTAGGACAAAGGGATGCGATGGGGCGGCTCCAAAGGCAAATGAGAAGGCATTAGGAAGCCACGCCTGGGCTGCATAATAAAAGGGGAGGGGTGGGAGGTGCTGGTGGCCGAAGGCCACCGTTCGTGTTGAGGAATCGAGTTTCTGTGTGAATTGTGCTTTGTTTGCCTTGGACGCGGACTCAGGTCTGTGAATAATAAAAGGGGATTGGTTTTTTCCCTGCGGTCCCTTGCTTGTTGGAAGAGGGGTTACTCCTTGTGAGCGTAACAAGGACTCGCGTGGGCTGGGACAGAACATGGCCTCTCAAACTGAAGCACAGACGATTCCTCGATGCACAACGCCCCATTCTTTTCCAGGTTGGCAGCCCAGATATGAGGGGAGGAGAGAAAGTGGGGGTAACTTTGCAGGAGGGGCAGGTGTGTGCACAGCATGAGTGCCCGCAACGTTCGCCGCGACACTCGGGCAAGCGGAGCTGGGAGCGCGCATGAGGAGGCTTGCACGAGTGGGACAACAAGCACGGACAACAAGACTCGTGGGACACACTCGTGAGTGGGACCATGAGTGCTCATAAGGCATGCGCACGTGGGACCACAAGCACCGGCAACAACGCTCATGGGACACACTCGTGAGTGTGATCACGAGTGCTCACAATGAGGCTCGTGTGAGTGGGACCACAAGCACGGGTAACAACACTCATGTGACACATTTGTGAGTGGGACCACAAGTGCTCACCATGAGGCTCGCGTGAGTGGGGGCCGCAACCGCCCACAAGGCACGCGCAAGGGAGGCTGCGACTGCCCACAATGCTTGCAGTAACCCTCATGCTAGAAGGCACAGCTCCATGACACGGTCCTTTCGGCAGTTCCAAGAAGGCCCCCACACACCCGTTTGCACCACTCGGGTGACTCCGAGGACACAGAAAAGCCTCTAAGCGGCCTCAACGCCTCTCTCAAAAGGAGGCAAATGGCCAGCTGTCTGCAAGGAGGATAACTCCTTCCATTCCCCACCATCCGGTCCGAGCTGAAGAAGCTTCTTGGATGGGAAGGGAAACATCTTCAAAGGAAAAACGAGAAAAATCCAGTTGCCTCTTAGGGAAAAAAAAATCAATCATTCCTTCACGTCAATTTCTAGCGTGGGTTCAGACCGTGTGTGTATGTGTGTGTGTCCTCCGGTGATCCCATGCTTATCTCAGACAAAGACATTCCAAAGTGGCATGTAGCCAGGCTATCCTGTGATGACCTTAGGAGCTTCTCCTCCTGACGTGTTAACATGGAATTCACTGAATAGCTAAACTACATTACCCATAAGCCATCTCGTAAGGAGACAGCGCTTAACCTTAGCAATGCCAAACATTCTAACGTACATGTTGAGTCCTCAAGTCAACGGCGAATGAATAGAACACATTCTGTAATTCCAACAGCCTTTGATTCTCAGTAGTTCTCTCTCCGACACAACTCTGAGGCTCGCAGGCCTCTCTGTCTCCTTTAATAGAATCCCCGGGCAAAAAGGTAACAAACGGGCGCGCTTCTGTGCCTCGCGCATGCGCGCAACGCCGGCACCACTCAGTCTGGTCCTCGGCAGCTTGAAACTGCCCGGGACCATTGCAATGTCCCGAGCCTGCCTTTGCAGGCTCCGGACACAACACCCCTTCCCCCCCGGATGAAACTTTATTAAACTATATCAGTGGTTCTCAACCTGTAGGTCGGGACCCCATTTGGGGTCGAACGACCATTTCACGGGGGTCGCCAAACAACGCAGTCCGCCATTTCCCCCCCCCCTTTTCCTTAGCTGTGCTACTCCCTTTTATTCTATTGGCTTTTGAAAGCCAATAGAATAGACTCTCTTGAATAGAGTCTAATTCTATTGGCTTTCAAAAGCCAATAGGAATTGTCCAGGCTGTCTCTGCCCTGCTGAGCCCGCCAAAAGTCCCATTCTGCAAACAGTGCTGCACCAGTTGAGTAGTCCTCGACTTACGACCGGTTGGGGGTCGTGGCATTAAAAAGATTGACAACCACTGAACTATATGGATAGATATACGCGACCTCAAGACGAGCGTGGTGTGCTGTCCAATGGGACTTGCACATTTGTTGCAGCTACTTACTAGCCACACTACAGTATGGTAGCAGGCTATTGTTTTGGAATTAGGTGCCCAACGCCTGCAGTTCCAAGTTCCCCAACAGCAGGCACCCTCTTCACCTCCCTTGCTTTGACAGCAAGGTTACAAAATCTTCCAGGTATTTGGGAGATCTTTCAACTCTCTGTGACCTCCTCAGATTTTCGAGAACTCCCTAAATCATCCTGTGCAGAGATTGGAGTGGAGTTGCCCCCTCTTTTAAACCCCGGTGGTCCCCGTGACCTGGGTCCCGTTGCCTGGTCTGCTTGCTTGCCCACCGGGCTCGTCAGACCAGGACTTTGCTCCCCACTGTACCTGGTTGACCTGCCTAACTGCAGGCTCTCGAGCCCCACTAGCTTTTGCAGGCTCAGGACACAACACCCGTTCCCCCCCGGATGAGACTTATTAACTATATAGGTAGTTATACGCAACCTCAACACGAGTGTGGTGTGCCAACCCAAGGAACCTGCACATCTGTTGCAGCTACTCACTAGTCACACTACAGCATGTACCTGGTTGAGCTGCCTAACTGCAGGCTCTCGGGCCCCACTACGTGCCCGCCAGGATTTGACATTTCTGTGGTACTCTCCAAGTCCACCATGGACCGATCAAGGGAACGCATCCCTTCACTCCCAAGCCCCGTAACGGGATTGTCTGGGGTTTCTGCAGTGCCCCAATACTCCGTTGCACCCCGTTCTATGCCGGAGGTGCCAGAATCAGGATGTGCCTCTCTGACTATCTCCCTGTGTGTAGACTTCGTTTTGGAAGCAGTAGCAGCATTGGGCCAGCTTATTTGTTTGTGTGCCAGTTCTCTTGTGTGATTTGGGTGTTTTGGATGCTCCCGGGTATTCTCCCTGAATGGAGTGCTGAATTGGGGTTGTGAATGATGAGTATGCCCCCTGGGTGACTCCCTGGCTGGAGTAAGCACTGGTGCCTGTGTGCTTTCTAG